CGGCGAGTTTCCGAGGACACTTTTATTAACACTTTGGTAAATTTTCATACTCATATTCCAAGAACTCGATTTTATACGAATTTTTAAAACTTAATCGGCGAAAATTGCGAAATTCGAAAAAATTCTCAATCATTTCAAAAATTTATTTCTCAAAAACTAAAAGCGATTTTTCAAAAAGGCTTTTTGCATTAAAAAGAGGATATTTTAATTAATAATTGGTGATATTTCCACAAGTATCCATAAGGAAATTAATTTTATAGCGAATTTTGAAAGTTATCGATGAAAATTGCAACATTGAAAATTTAATCAAAACTTTAAATATTGTTTTCTCAAAAACTAAGTTATTTTTCAAAATGTGTTGGTTCATTGGAAAGAGGACACTTTCGATACTTAAGAAATCGATTTTATACGAATTTTTACAACTTAATCGGCGAAAATTGTTTTCAAAAATGTATTTCTCAAAAACTAAAAGCGATTTTTCAAAACGGCTTGTTGCATTAAAAACAGGATACTTTAATTAATAATCGAAAGTGATAATTGCGGTTCGGTTAGTAATGAATGTGATGATAAACAATGATGAACACAAGAGAAGAAAGGAAAACTAGACGAAACTGCAACAAGAGATTTTATATATCGTATTGGGATTGTTACAATGAGGTTGCTAAGACAAACCTGATATAAATAAAGTTGTATTCAATGAAAAAAGTCCTATTGGGGTTGAACTTGATTATTATTTGCAGTTCCATATTGCAGTGTCCAACACCTAAAAGAGATACTAATTCCTGCGAATGGGGGAATACCAAGTAATAGGTTTTTAATATCCTGTATCCGGCCGGAGTTTAAAAATTGGCCGGATACCAGATTTTTTCCGGATATCCGTTCCACCACTATTTAAGATATAACCTAAATAACTTGTGACATAACCAAAATAAAAAAATTTCTTAATTAAATATTATTTTAATATGGGACATCGTTTTCGTTCTCGATGAGGAATCTGCACACCATTTCCATAAATAAAATTAAAATTATTCACTTAATACTTATGAGATGACATAACCTAAATGATTTGTGACATAACCTAAATGGATTGTGACATAACCTAAATGGATTGTGACATAACCTAAATGGATTGTGACATAACCTAAATAAAAAAATTATTTAAAATTTTAATTTTACCGTAAATACGTTTGCAACCATAATTGTTTTTTATGTAGGTCTTTTTGATAATGTAAGCATCCAGCACCATCTTCTCCAAAATGACATGAAACAGCATCATCAACGGTTGGATAAATAATATTGATATTAACTTGAGGGTCCGGTATTGGCGAATAATTTTGTCTACAAGCTAAGCTTCGTAATAACACACTTTGTAACCAATCTATAGGGCGTTTTCCGAATGAACCCAAGCTTGAAGCTTGAACGTTAACTTCCCAATAATCCGGATTGGAATCTATTTTACAATGAGAAGAAAGAAGATTTAAAGTTCTGTAAAGGTGGCACTCGGTGCCGTTTGGGTAATGAGTTCCCGGAGTTGATGCCACAAAAAAGACTCTGCGTATATAAATTATTAATAAAAAAGAAATTATAAAAAAAAATTTTTTTTACTTCACGCTTGAAAAATCTGCGTTTGAAATATATCTCATAAAATCTTTAATAAGATATAGTTTGTATGTTTTCAAATATTTTAATAAAGTCGATTTAAACCCTGTGGGGCTTTCTCCTTTATCACAGGGTGTGTTTCTGGGTAATTGAGGACATCTCGGACTCACCCATAACCTAAAAAATTCAATTTTAAATAATTACGATTAAAATTATTTATTTAATTACCCGTTATTGTAATGATTCCAATCTTCATAATACAAATTAGCTGTTGACACAACAATTCTTATAGAGTTATCGGTATAAACGTAAACGCCAATTTTACTTTAAAAAAATTATTAAATTGTACACTAAAATAAATGTTAAAAATTATCTTACCAATGATGATGTCCCATCGGATTCTTTAATTTCATTAGATGGTGTTTAACGTTAGGTAAAAATTTTTGAATGTAATCGGTCATATCGGGTAAATCCCAACCCTATACCACTGTTAAGGGTTTGGTGCTAATATCAAAAAAGGATAAAATAAAATTGTTTTTTTTTTTTAGATATAACTTACTGGACATTATGAACTTTATATTGTTCAATTAACCATTCTATCTCTACGAGAAAATTTAATTGTAACGAACATTTTAATTCACCTAAACTCGGGCAGAGTAAATCTATAAAAAGATTTAGAAAGAAAAGGTTTCCATAAAAACATGTATTTACCTGAAAATGTAATTGAATTTTTTTGATTCAATGTATCATGCAATTTAGGTATCGTGAAAAATAAATTGTACGGATAGTTGCTTTTCATTTTATCTGCCATGGTGTATTTTTGATGTTTCGGGGAATTTACAGCCCTTGAAGTGATTTTGTTTGAGTCAGCATTAGATGTACTTGGTTCATCTTTGCATGCATCTTTTTGTGTACTGATATCATCAATTCGTAATGTTTTTAAAACACTTAGTTGCTCCATAACAACTTGTCTACTTTGAGGAAAATTATCTGGCAGATACAAATTATCACCTTGTTGTAACAAATCGTTTACTAATATAAAAATGAAAGATTTATTAAAGAAAATACAAAAAAATGTTGATTTTGCTTACAATGAGGGTGTTTGTATTCGTCAAAATGATCAGGATTTAATTCACAACATTTTTCTGATTGTGGACAAACTTTGTTCATCTTTTACTAATTTTTTTTGTGAGATTTTAGCAAAATATACAGTTAATACTACGCAGATATAGAAATCACTATCTTATGTAACCAATTCAATTTATATAGTTATCATAGATAAGGAACGTAATAGTTATCTATTTTATTATTTATCGTGTTTTCCACTCATTTTTATGAGAAAATATTAATTAATTTTGAAAATTAAAACGACATAACCTCAAACGAGTTGTTTATGATGGAGGTTGTCAATTTCATAGTACCAATTTAAAAAAATTACTTAATTGAGAAACGTCTAAATTTTGTGATTATGTTGCAACCCAATTAATAATTAACAATTAAAAACAAAAAAATAGTATAATAGTAGTATATAATGTAATTAAATCAAAATAAAGTTATTTAAAAAATTTATTTAAACTTAGTGACATTTAATCATTTCCATTACCAACCTCACAGTTCAACTGATTTTCTGGAGTACTCATTTTCTTAAAAGGTACAAAATAAGAAACTTTGAATCATTCTGAATAAGATAAAACGAAACTCCTCGTTTTTTAGCGAATAGAAAAGTTTTGGCGATTACTTTGAAAATTAATATGCAATTTTAATAAAAAATTATCCATTAAAAAATAATTTAACCCATTTCGAGTTTCTAGGTTGGTAGTAACGACAGAAATTCCCTGCTAAATTAGGTTATGTTTTAACCTTAACGTTTATTTAAATATTAATATTTATAAAAATAATCGGAAATAATTGATAATCAAAATTAAATAAATAAATTTAATTTAATTATTTTTTAGTATATAACACAAGCTGTTTATGCAAAATATCAAAAATTATCGAATTTTACCTTTAGCTTTCCAAGCTAACCCAAACAGAACAAATTTGGTTGGAAGCCATAAATTTGCAATCAGAAAATCACGAATAGAAGCAAGTTGTTGGCGAAAATTCAGGGTTCAACCTCAACCCCAAGAGTTATAATGAAAAGTGTTCACAAGCTACATGATTATAATAATTATTATAATTATCTGATAATTATCTATTTTATTTCGGACCACCTGAATTATCATTAAAAATTACAGGTACCTATAATCACTTCAATTTATGTCATAATTATTTATTTTTATTTAATAAATATGAATAGTGTAACGAGTGTAACAAAGAATTAAGAAAAATATAAATAAATAAGAAAGAAAACAATATTTAAATTCTGTTTAAACATGCCCTGACATCTAGTAACACGATCTCAAATTTAGTAACCATATTGAACCATATAAACAAGCCTTTTTAACGTATTGATTAAATTGGAGCTTAATTTGGTTATTTATTTATAAATTTAATAAGTAAAACATCTCTTTAAGAAGATTTAATGGGATTTTCCATAATTATAAATCCCTCCACATTATTTATAATCAATACAATGGAAAAAGAAAGCCTGGTAAAGACAATGTCTAATTTAATCAACATTTATTTAATATAATACAAACTTTTCTTTTTATGATAAGAACAAAGAAGCTGTTTATAATATAAACTGGTATGATGTAGATGTGTCAACACAAGAAGATTTTTTTATGCCTCAAAGAATCGCATGTGATGAATGTGATTAATAAATATGTTTTAATATATTAACTATTATTTTAAATTAAGTTTATAATTGCTAATTTGGTGAAATAATCGGTCCCAAAACGTCGTTAACATAATGATACAGCAAGTTACATTTAATTCGTGAACTAACATCGTTGCTACTACCCCAAATAATAAATCCGTCAACTTTTAGAGCCTTTAATAGCTTTATTACGCTATTTAAATCATCTAAAGGCATATATCTTTGTGTGTCTCTGTATTTTAACCAAACGTAGGGTAAAATTTTCGGTTTAATCAACATTTTATTTTGATTATTTAGTATTCTTATAGCTTCTTGTATACGTCCTTCGATTAATTTGAGATTATCAGATAAGCTTTGTTGCTTTTCGGATAAATAAATCGATGGGAAATACGCTGTCGATGATGAAAATAACCAATTTAAGCTAAAAAAAATTATTAAATAAATTTAATTTTTTGTGTTATATTTACCGGTCATTTTCGTCCATAACTTCTTGGGAGCATTTAGTGTTGTTATTTCCTGGGGACATATTGAAACAATAAGGATAAGCATAGTAACCCCAATAAGCTTTAGGTCTCATTTCTTTAGCGATTAACAAAGTTTCTTCAACAAAATCTCTTCCGGTTAATTCAAATCGTTTTTGCGCCTCCAATTTTATTTTCGGTTGGGTCCAAGTTGGATGGAGGGTTTCTTCGATTTTGTATGAAATTTCTTTGTATGGGGTTAACGTGCCGAAATTTTGACGAAAAATTGGGCGCCAACTTTCAAAGTCTATTATTGCGATTCCTATTAATAAATATATTTTGTTAATTAAACAAATTTTTAATTAAAAAGGAAACGTACCGCTAAAATTGTTGTTAATAATAAGTTCTTGTAAGGATTCCTTAAAAATTTCTAGGTGTAAAGATAAGTTTCCTTGTTGTGGGACGCCCCCATTTCGTAAAAAGATTTTGTCCGTTTCGGAGTTTTCTAAAATCGCTGGGAAATTGCCTGGGTCATATAAGATGGAGATTTTGTCGCCTCGGAAATCGTCGTTTTCATTTTGGATGATTCCGTATTTTTTTGTTAAATCCGTGAAGGGGATTTTGAAAGGTCTGCATTGAAACGAAGGGATGTTCCAATATATTTGGAAATAATCCGATTTTTCAATTAAAACCCCGCTTTAATAATAATTATAATAATAACAACAATAAAAAATGATTTAATTAATTTAATTTTTTACCTAGCGGTTTTAACAAAGAAATAAAAAAGGAGTACTTCTCTCCACATCGTTTCGTTTAAAACTGAGCACGAAAGAAAAACAATTCCCTGCAAAAACCCCTCTATTTTCTTTTTTACTTTTTTTTGTTGTTCTCTTTTCATTTATGTAAATAAATTTTGAAATGCAGATTATAGGTGCTACGTCAACTGAAACGACGGGCTTCTGCATTATCATAAATACAACTCAATTAATTTGCATTTGTGCCAGAAAAAAATTGTAACAACAACGAGAAATTGTGAGTTTTAAATTGTTTGTTCAGCCTCCACGTTTAGAATCAGTTCTTTAACACGGTTAAAAGAATTGCACAATTTCCAACTTGGGTCTCATTGTTTAAATTAATGCGAACCGCACGCAACGTTTTTGTGTGTTTAACTCGGTTGCGTGCTTTAAACGGAAAATTGGTACAAATCAAGTTGTTTTTTTTTTTGCACAATATGAAATAATGCAATTAAAAACTATGGAAATAAAATGTTTCTAATATATAATATGTTTCTAGTTCTAGTATTTAATTAAAATTTTAATTTTATTAGACTAAAATGAAGTTAAAATGTCAAAATGACAAGATAAGATGTCAAACTGACAACTGCATGTCACGATTACAGGTTATATTGGGGAAATGACAGCTTTATAACCAAATAACAAGATGAATTGTCTTAATGACAAGTTGAAACGTCAAAATACCAAGTTATGTATTCGATGTAATGTCAATATTTATCATAAAAAGTCAAAATGTTGAGTTAAAATGTCATAGTGACAAGTTAAAAAATCAAAATGACAGGATAGGAAGCCAAATAATAACTTTATGTCAAGACGACGGGTTGTAACGGGGAAATAACAGCTTTATAAAAACCTAACAAGATTAAATGTCATAATGACAAGTTGAAACGTCAAAATGTCAAGTTGTGTAATCTCAATACTTATCATAGAATATCAAAATGTTAAATTAAAATGTCCTTGTTACAAGTTAAAAATTAAAATGACAAGATGAGATGTCAAAATGATAACTTTATGTCAAGATGACTGATTATATTGGAGAAATGACAACTTTATAAAAAAATAAGAAGATGAAATGTCATAATGACAAGTTATGTATTCGATGTAATGTCAATACTTCTCATAAAATGTTGAAATGTTAAGTTAAAATGTCATAGCGACAAGCTATAGGTCAAAATTACAGTATAAGATGTTAAAACGATACCTTTATGTCAAAATGACAGGTTATAATGAGGAAATGACAGCTTTATAAAAAAATAACAAGATTAAATGTTATAATAACAAGTTGAAACGTTAAAATGTCAAGTTATGTATTCGATGTAATGTCAATACTTATCATAAAATGTCAAAATGTTAAGTTAAAATGTCCTAGTGACAACTTAAAAAATCAAAATGACAATATAAGATGTCAAAATGATAACTTTCTCAAGATTATAGGTTGTAATAGGGAAATGACAACTTTATAAAAAAATAATAAGATGAAATGTCATAATGACAAGTTATGTATTCGATGTAATGTCAATACTTCTCATAAAATGTTGAAATATTAAGTTAAAATGTCATAGCGTCTAGCTATAGGTCAAAATTACAGTATAAGATGTTAAAACGATACCTTTATGTCAAAATGACAGGTTATAATGAGGAAATGGCAGCTTTATAAAAAATAACAAGATTAAATGTTATAATGACAAGTTGAAACGTTAAAATGTCAAGTTATGTATTCGATGTAATGTCAATACTTATCATAAAATGTCAAAATGTTAAGTTAAAATGTCCTAGTGACAACTTAAAAAATCAAAATGACAAGATAAGATGTCAAAATGACAACTTTCTCAAGATTATAGGTTGTAATGGGGAAATGACAACTTTATAAAAAAATGAGATGAAATGTCATAATGACAAGTTATGTATTCGATGTAATGTCAATACTTCTCATAAAATGTCAAAATGTTAAGTTAAAATGTCCTAGTGACAACTTAAAAAATAAAAATGACAAGATAAGATGTCAAAATGATAACTTTGTCAAGATTATAGGTTGTAATGGGGAAATGACAACTTTATAAAAAAATAAGAAGATGAAATGTCATAACGACAAGTTATGTATTCGATGTAATGTCAATACTTCTCATAAAATGTCGAAATGTTAAGTTAAAGTGTCATAGTGACAAGTTAAAAGATCAAAATTACAGGATAAGATGTCAAAATAACAACTTTATATCAAGATGACAGGTTATATTGGGGAAATGACAGCTTTATAAAAAATTACATGAAACGTCAAAATATCAAGTTATGTATTCGATATAATGTCAATACTTATCATAGAATGTCAAAATGTTAAGTTAAAACGTCATAGTGACAAGTTAAATGATCAAAATTACAGGATAAGATGTCAAAATGATAAGTTTATGTCAAGTTTTATAGTTTTCTTTATAAGTTTTTATAAAGTTGTCAATGGGGAAATGACAACTTTATAAAAAAATAAGATGAATTGTCTTAATGACAAGTTGAAACGTCAAAATATCAAGTTATGTATTCGATGTAATGTCAATATTTATCATAAAAAGTCAAAATGTTGAGTTAAAATGTCATAGTGACAAGTTAAAAAATCAAAATGACAGGATAGGAAGCCAAATAATAACTTTATGTCAAGACGACGGGTTGTAACGGGGAAATAACAGCTTTATAAAAACCTAACAAGATTAAATGTCATAATGACAAGTTGAAACGTCAAAATGTCAAGTTGTGTAATCTCAATACTTATCATAGAATATCAAAATGTTAAATTAAAATGTCCTTGTTACAAGTTAAAAATTAAAATGACAAGATGAGATGTCAAAATGATAACTTTATGTCAAGATGACTGATTATATTGGAGAAATGACAACTTTATAAAAAAATAAGAAGATGAAATGTCATAATGACAAGTTATGTATTCGATGTAATGTCAATACTTCTCATAAAATGTTGAAATGTTAAGTTAAAATGTCATAGCGACAAGCTATAGGTCAAAATTACAGTATAAGATGTTAAAACGATACCTTTATGTCAAAATGGCAGTTTATAATGAGGAAATGATAGCTTTATAAAAAAATAAGATTAAATGTTATAATGACAAGTTGAAACGTCAAAATGACAAGATAAGATGTCAAAATGATAATTTTATGTCAAGGTGACTGGTTATAATGGGGAAATGACAATTTTATAAAAAAATAACAAGATGAAATGTCATAATGACAAGTTGAAACATCAAAATGTGAAGTTATTCAACAAACATATACAAAAACCCAACACTGAATCACAACAAAAACTAGAACTAACACTAGACCAGAAACATTTAGGTTTAGACGTCTTAGTGATAGTACTAAAATTAGTTCTAGTTTTATCTCAAATGAAATATCTCAACTGACACGACGTTATCATAAATACAACTTAATTTGCATTTGTACCAGAAAGAAAATTTTAACAACAACAATGAATTAAATTGTTTATTCAGCCTCAAAGTTTAGAATCAGTTCTTTAACACGGTTAAAAGTATTGCACAATTTCCAACTTGGGTCTCATTGTTTAAATGAATGCGAACCTCACGCAACCGTTTTGTGTGTTTAACTCTGTTGCGTGCTTTAAACGGAAAATTGATACAAATCAAGTTGTTTTTTTTTTCTTTACACAATCGGAAATAATGCAATTAATAAAAAGAAAGAAATAAATAAATAAAACATTGAGGTTTTGACTACTATTTATTACGCAATTGGACATCAAACAATATTAATATTGATATTTACCATGTAATTTGTTTGTTTTTGGTGGAATGAGGCAATTGAAACATTTAGAAAATAAAAATAAATGTAAATTGCGAAAAATAATACAAAATAAAAAAGAAATTCGTGTTTTCTTTATACCAAAATGTACAAAATTCAATTGAATGAATCAAAGAAAAGGGTTATTTCATTTTTAATGTTTGTTAATAAATTTGATTTAAGCCAAAAATTGCTGGGTGTATGCGTGTTGTAATAATGTATTATTAATATATAAATTGTTAGCTAATTTAAGAAAAAAATTGAAACTGTTAAAGAAAAAACAGTTACTTGCGGAACTAAAAACCAACATTAATTTAATTTAACCGTCTACATTCATTTCTGTTTCTTCAGGAGCATCATGATTCTGCTGTTGTTGCCCGTCGGTGTGGTTAACGTCGGCTGGTTTGGTTTCTTTTGGTGGTGTGGGCGCCTTAGGCATTGGTTTATTCAAAATTGGATCGACCTGCGATCGGAAACCCACCAACGTTTTTTGCATATCGTCGACGGTAATACTCGGATCAACATGTTTTTGTAAATTTGTGTGCTCGTGATAAACTTTTCTCATATACTCATCTAAATCCCCAAAAGCTTTCTCAACTTTTTGGAGTTCTTCTCGCGTAAAATGAGATGCTCTTTCATCTTTCCCAGAGATAATCCCCTCATAGACTTTACGACAATGTTGTAGGGCACCACCAATTTTATCTAGCATCATCGGTCTTCTTTCAGCCTCTAATTTTCGTTTTTCAACCGGTTCACCTCGCTTTTTTAACGCTACCAAACGGTCTTTGTACTGTTGTTTTTCACAATCTTCACCTTCCTCGTATAACCAATTTTCCATTGATTCTAAATCGTTCACTAATTTTGTACGTTCATTTTCAATGATGAATGCAGCAAGATCTTCTTCTGAGGACAGTTTTCCTCTTAATTCATATACATATTCTTCTAAAGCGTTTCGGGCATCAGCTCGTTCTTTTTCTCTTTTATCATCTGTTAACAAAAAAATTTAATTTTTAATTCCACCAAGATTAAATTAATTTAATAAACTTACTTGCAATTAATTTATATTCCTCCTCTTTTAACTCTTCTATTTGTTTATGAGATAATCCATAAATTTCTGATTCAACGGTTAATACAAGATCTTTCTTAACGGTTTTTTTCTTTTTCTTCTCATCACCATTCTGCAACAAAAATCGTTTATGAATTAAAATTAATTTTAATTTAATCGAAAACGAGTAAAAACAAAGAAAATAAAACAGAGTAGAGCCTTGTATGCATTGTAGGCAACACTACAAAAAAATACAACAAAAAATTAACAACAAAAATTGAGGGGGAAAAGAATTAGAACAACTAAAAGGGTAGTGCCAGGTTTTATGCATACCCGGCTAAACAAGGCTGTTAATTTTCCCGTCCAGCCTACCTCTGGTGTGCTGTTTGCCTCAACAGACGCCTTATCCCCCCCATTTTGATCCGCATTTTGACCATCAACCTCCATGGGTTGTTGTGGTTGTTCCGAATTATCCACAATTTCGGTACATTCAATCACCGCTTTCCTCAACGAAAAAATACCACTTTGATTCGTGTTAAATGTTATCTTAACCGGTTGATTTCTACCTTCGGCTATTTGTTTAACATCTTTTACATGCCAAGTACCTAAGAAAAACATTCATAATTAAATTATTTATTTATTTATTATAATAAAACCTCGATATAACGGACCATGCGTCTCTTAAGACGTTATGTTTCTAGTTCTAGGTCTAGTATTATTTCTAGTGCTAGTGTTAGCTCTAATTTTAGTTGTTATTCAGCCTTAGATTGTTGTATATCTTTATTGAACTAAAACTAGAACTAACATTAAACTTAGAACTAGAATCATTCGGGTTTAGCCGTCTTAAAAGACGAAGGGCTAAACCCGAATGATTCTAGTTCTAGGTTTTGTGTTAGTTGTAGTGAATGTGTTGGTGTAAAACTTGCTGTGTTCTATTCTTCAGGTAGGACTCGACAAGAGCAACAGCGTCACTAGCAAGGTTATACACTTTAGATAGTTTCCTCAAGAGAATCTGATGTGACACGCAGTCAAATAGCCGCGTCAGATCCAAAAACATTGCAATGAAATGATGACCCCTTTCAGAAGAATCCAAGAACATGTCAACGAACTTGATAACAGCATACGACGTGCACCTACCCTTTCGAAATCCGTATTGATTTGGGCGAAGCAAATTATTTCCCTCTATACTAGAGCACTGCACGAGTACGTAAAAAGTAATCTGAGAAATAATCGCCGAGTATACAACTGAACGATGCGAGTACATACTCGGCACCGTTGGCCAATGCATCGCCGATGCATTCACTTTGTGATTACGAGTAATATTCATCAGAATTGCATCGTAGCATCGTGCATCGTGGCGAGTACGCATCGTGAATACTCGTCGGGTTTTCTCGTTTCGTGTTTCGACAAGTCGAGACAGGACAGTTGCACGGAATTATTCTGGAACTAATCCTTTGATCGTTCATGTGTATTTGACATTTGGAGCTCGTGTAACAATGTCGATATTAGAAAAAATTAAAAGTGGTGAATGTATAACAAAAGAAGCACTTGGAAAAAGTAATGTGTGGGCCTGTTTTAAAAAAATTGTGAAAGAAATTGACGGTGTTGAACATATACAACCATTTGTAATATGTGTTAAGTGTGAACATATTTTTAAATACAGTAAAGGTTCGAGTCCATCCAATTTAAGGAAACACCGTTGTTTCAAAGACACAGATGAGCCGGAAAATTCTTCTACAAATGCTGATGTACGCAACAGAAAAAGAGCGCGTATCAATGTGAGGGACGAAATAGAAAAAGATATTACAGACAAGTGTGTACAGTATGTGACTCAGGATCTCCGTTCGTTTGCAGCAGTAAGTGGTAGTGGGTTTAAAGACCTAGCACGCTGCTTGGTAGAAACAGGAGTGAAACTAGGTTCAAGAAACTTCGATATAAATGACATTTTGCCGCATCCGACTACTGTTAGCCGTACGCTTCACAAAATGCACAATAGAGAAATAGAATGCTTTGTTTCCGAACTACAACCACTGCTTGAGAAAGGTAAAGTGTTGTTCTCTATAAGTGTATTTCCAAAATAATAATACAACATGTAACGACGTTATACAGGGTGGTGTGCAGCAACAACTGATATGTGGACGGAAAACAAAAANTAGTGAAAGTGCTGGTGTAAAACTTGCTGTGTTCTATTCTTCAGGTAGGACTCGACAAGAGCAACAGCGTCACTAGCAAGGTTATACACTTTAGATAGTTTCCTCAAGAGAATCCAAAAACAATGCAATGAAATGATGACCCCTTTCAGAAGAATCCAAGGACATGTCAACGAACTTGACAACGACATCCGACGTACACCTACCCTTTCGAAATCCGTATTGATTTGGGAGAAGTTATGTTAAAAAAAATTTGGGTGAAATCAAGTAATTGTAACTACTCATTTTAACCTAAAAGTGCGATTTGAGTGGAACTTTAAATAATCCCCCCAGATAGTATTAATTGAAATAAAGAAATTATTTATATATCAAATTAAAGCTTAAAGTATCCTCTTTAAAATGATATATAACTCATTATCTTTTTATTTTAAAGTTGGACTAAATCATTTTTTTAGAAAATGTTGAAATTTTGATTACAACCTAATTTATCTAATTTATATAAAAAAGTTGTTAACTTTAAAAAATTGTACTCGGCCTCTTTAAAATGATATATAACTTATTATCTTTTCATTTTAAAGTTGGACATAATCATTTTTTTTTAGAAAATGTTGAAATTTTGATTACAACCTAATTTATCTAATTTATATAAAAAAATTGTTAACTTTAAAAAATTGTACTCGGCCTTTTTAAAATGATATATAGCTCATTATCTTTTCATTTTAAAGTTGGACCTATTTCAATACAAATTATTTCAAAAATTTGAAATTTCAATTACAACGATGGATATAAAACAATAGTTAACTTTAAATAATCGTACTGGATCTAAATTTGAAAACAAATATATGATTTTTATATCAAATTAAAGCTTAAAGTATCCTCTTTAAAGTGGTATATAACTCATTACTACTTCATTTTAAGTTGGACCAAAACGATTTTTTTAGAAAATGTTGAAATTTTAATTATAACGAATATATATAAAAAAATTGTTAACTTTAAATAATCGTACTAGGCGTAAATTTGAAGATAAGGATGTGATTTATATATCAAATTAAAGATTAAAGTATTCTCTTTAAAATGATATATAACTCATTATCTTTCCATTTTAAACTTGGACCAAAAAATTTTTTTTAGAAAGTTGAAATTTTGATTACAACCTGATTTATATAAAAAAAATGTTAACTTTAAAAAATCGTACTGGGTGTAGATTTGAAGATAAGAATGTGAGTTTTATATCAAATTAAAGCTTAAAGTATCTTCTTTAAAATGGTATATAACTCATTACTACTTCATTTTAAAGTTGAATCAAAACGATTCTTTTAGAAAATGTTTGAATTTTGATTACAATCTGATTTATCTAAAAAAATTGTTAACTTTAATTAATCGTACTAGGCGTAAATTTGAAGTTAAGAATGTAATTTTTATATCAAATTAAAGCTGAAAGTATTCTCTATAAAATGGTATATAACTCATTACTACTTCATTTTAAGTTGGACAAAAACGATTTTTTTTTAAAATGTTAAAATTTCAATTATAACGAATATACAGGGTGATTCACATAAGAACCGACACAGAGCAGGGACATGTAGAGGACAATAAATTAAGATGATTTAATGCAACTTATCTCTATACTAAGTTGTACCCCTGAGGAGTTATAGGCCTTCAAAGTTGGCTCTTAAATTTTGAAAACATTAAATATCTTCGTAATACATTAAGCTAGAAAAACTAAATTTGGTATACGTTATGAGTGTATCGAAGGTATTAAGTGGTAGCAAATTGAAGCATTTCAAAGGGTTGATTAAGGGTGATGATCCCCTAAATTTTGACAGATTTTTTTAACCTTTTGGTGGATTTACTACATTATTACCTCATTTAATGTGGCATTTAATTCTAAAACTTTTTTTACTCTTATTATTTTTTAAAAAACATTGTCGTTTTCATAAAAAACTCAAATAACTAAAGACACGTATTTCGTCAATGCTACTTATAATCATTGAAAATTCAGTAGTCGGCTGTGAAATTGTACGTCAAACTTGACAAATAGGTTATAAAACCTTGTTGTCAAATAATTTTATAACCTATTTGTTTGACGTACAATTTCATAGCCCACTACTGAATTTTCGCTTATTTTAAGTAACATTACGAAATAAGTGTCTTTAGTTATTTAAGTTTTTTATGAAAACGAGAAAGTTTTTTAACAAATAATAAGAGTAAGAAAAGTTTTAGAATTAAATTTCACATGAAATGAAGTAGTAATGTATTAAATCCGTCAAAAGGTTAAAAAGATCTGTCAAAATTTAGTAGTTTATTATTTATTATTAATGCCTCAATTGAGTTCAATTTGCTACCAATTAATACCCTTGGTACACTCATAACGTATACCAAGTTTGGTTTTTCTAGCTTAATTTATTACGAAGATATAAAACTTAAGAGCCAACTTTGAAGGCATATAACTCCTCAGGTGTACAACTTAGTATAGAGGTAAGTTACTTTCAATCATCTTAATTTATTGTCTTCTACATGTCCCTGCTCTGTGTCGGTTCTTATGTGAATCACCCTGTATAAAAAACCATTTTATCATACATTGTACGCTCAAACACCTTGGAAAAAGCTGGCAGTACACTTATTGGCCTATAATTGGAGCAATCCGTAGTATCTCCTTTCTTATGCACGGGCACCACGTTATCTATTTTCAATATATCAGGGAACTGAGAATCAGCAAATACTCATACATGTCTACATTCCTCTTTATAAAATAAGTTGGGATGGAAAAAATATCAAGTGTAGGACTACTCTTCAATGAACAGAGCAGCTCACGTACTTTAATAGGACCAACTTCTGAAAATGAAAATCAACGAAAAACCTATTCAGCACATTCGGATCAAGATTACTATTTAGATTGCTTTTAGCGTTGAGTAGAGTTTTAGCATTTATTATTGACCACACTGCACTAGCTTATACAGATGAACCAACCACCAAACTTGCAATACAACATTTATTGTTAATCTGAAGGGAACCAAGCGTCTAGTTCCTTCCAGTTAAATGCATTGTGTTGAACTGTGGCGCTTAGCTCCGTTCGTGCGATCGTTTGTTCAATTATTTGAGGTTAGGTTTTGATGATAAATGGATTGTGTAGCAGCTGTGAAGATATTACATCTAAAAATAGCAACAGCCCATCTAGTAGTGAAAATGAAGACAATGCAGCTGAAAATGAGATCAGCGAACATATTGGAAGACCTAAAAAAGGAAGAAAAACAAAATTTAAAGGACAAACTTTCAAAGCGAAGAAGAAATAACAGTATGTCGACCGATCTATTATACGAAAAAAGGAAAAGTTGTGGCGGCAATAAATTCTTAGGCGATTATCGATGTAACTGTACTCGCAATTGTGCCAACTTAATTAGCGAGGCTAAAGGAAAGCACATCTTTGAAAACTTTTACAAGTTAGCTAACTATGATGCGCAAACAGCTTTTATTGCCGCAAAATAAAACATAAACGAAATAAGATCTTTGTAAAGAGGTCTTATCTGTTCCAGTATGTAAAGATTTTTTTATAAATACACTTAGATTAAGTTCTAAAAGAATAAATATTACTCTGTGCAAACTTAGGAGTGGAGAAATTAAAGATGGCAGAGGCGAGATGCAAGGTGGAAAAAATAAACTTCCTGAAGAAGTGGTTATTACTCACATAAAGCGGTTCCCCACATACAAATCGCATTCGATATCATAGAGCGTAAAATGTATAATTTGTATAAGAGTGAAAACAAAGATATTAAGGTATCTTTTGCTAGCTATAAAAGTATCTTTTATAAAAATTTTAATCTGCTTAGACACCAAGAATAAAGGACAAGTGCAGTTTATTAAATTCATACAATATCAAAATACAAAATGCTATATTGGAACAGAACAGGGAGGAACTAAAACTAGCACACAATTTATATCTAGAAGCAGCTGAAATAGCAAGAACAAAAATTAGAAATGATTTTGAGATATCCAAAGAGGATAAAAACTTTAAACTCTAAATGAAACTCTAATTATGTGGTTAGATAGCTGTGGTAGCCAAAAAAAGAAACGTTAAAATACATCCTTAGCTGTCACCCTACATTAAAATCGATCTATTTTAAGTACTTAATATGACCACAGCTATCTATACTCTTCCACATCCAGATTGGTTTTTATGACAGTCATAAATAAAAGCCGGGGTGATTTTTGCCCCCTCAAGTACCTGAAAAGACTTATGATAGTCATACAAGGACAGGGTAGAACTTAAATTTTTTTAAACTAAAATTTAATTAAAAACCTAAGTTTAGTTATAACAACTGAAATTTAATTATAAAAACTAGTATAAAAGTCTTAGAAAAAAATATTACTTTTAGGAATGTCTAAATAATAGAATAACGAAATTTTAAAGAATCTAATTATTTTCCGCCCTCTTTTGTAAGTAGACAATGCATGCCTTCTCAAAAGATTTCTTAGAAAAAATATTTACTTAATATTAGAAACACAACAAATAAGAGAATAATGAGTATTTATATATGACCTTATTATTTTTCTACAATTTGCCAGTAAAGTGTGGTCCTTAATGCCGCCCTGAGTGAGGAATCCCAGTATTTTACAATGGGAACTACCTGTTACAACCCCGTCTTTGTTAGTTTTACAACTACAGTAGGGAAGTGACAGAGTCATAAAAACAGATCGCCGTGTGGAAGACTATACCAAATGATTCAGATTTTTTGGACATAGAAAAGGCAATTAAGTAATGAAACATTGCAGGCGAAAAAAATCCACTGATTATGACAGAGATGAGCATGGAACATTTTTGCTCTGTAAAAAACTTAGAAAAACAAATTACTAACCGAAAAGTAGACATAAACAAAAACAAGGTTAGTTGGTTAGAAACCAGAGTAATAAAATTAGAAAGTCTTCATTTTCAATTTCCTTAAAATACACTCAAAAAGAAAATGGCGCGTTCCATGAAGCATTGCTGCAGAAAAATCCAAAAAGAAAAGCTCAACGGTACAGAAAGTTGCAAGACATTAAGTCTTTAATGCCCTTTATTCCATTGGGTGCTAAAAATTTCTACAACAACCTCAAAGGCACGATTTAGATGTCTTTGGCGAAAACCTCGATTTTGAGCCAGACTCAGATAATGAAAAAGCATAAATACATTTATTATTGTATTCAACCAAAATTTTGTATGTTTTAAAATACTGTTTACTTTATTTTTTTGTAGTATGAAAAATAAATGAGTTTCTAAACTAAAAACTTGTTTAATTTAATTATTTATGTTTCATACTTTCATTCTAAAAAACTAATCTTTGTTTAAATATTATTCAGAAAGGCACAAACTAAGTACCAAAACTGTAAAAAATAAATAGAATTTATAAATAGAAGAGATACTCATAAACCTATAAAATAAAAATATTACTAAAATCTTCAATATGTAATGTCATTTTTATAATTTGACAGTTGGCCCCCTTCTGATAAACATGGTCCAATTAAAATTAGAACTACCATCCCTGATTTATACATCATATAGAGAACTCAAAAAATACTCCAAGTTTATTTACTAACATGGAATAGATCAACTTGGGGAATAACCCAATTTGTATTCTAACTATGAGCGCTAATATTTGTATTTAAATATGCTGTTGTATTAAATAGATAATATTAATAGAATCCATTATATCAAGGTTTAACTGTAATGATTAATTTATTTATTTATTTATGTATTTACCTATTGTTTTGCTTTTAAAATGAATATCCTCCTCTTCAGAATAATACGCACTAATTGCAAACGAATCGTTTCTATTAATGGTAAGTTTCCTGGTAATGGGCACCTTGGTGTATTTAGGGAAAAGTTCGTGCACCTCATCAGGTCCACTCTTAAGCATAATCGAGTAATTTTGGACATCTTCGACTTTGAAATCTTTCACACGCACCGCAGGGGATAAAATAGCACATTGCAGGGCGCAACCACGACTAACAGCTTCGTCTTGATTCAAAGTTGTGCTCGGGGTGCGTCCGAAAACCTCCGTGATTAACTGTTTAATGGCTGGAATTCTCGTCGAGCCACCAACGATTTCGACGGAATGAACCATTTCGAGATCTAAACCGGAATCTTGTAAGCACTTGACCAGCTTGTTTCGAACCCTATTAAATAAATCTTTGCAGAGCTCCTCCATATCCGCCCTTTTCATATCTCCGCGAACATCTTTATCCTCCATAAAACACTCGATATTTAGCGGCAAAGAAGTTGAATTCGCCGACATTTGTTTTTTTAATTTCTCAACCTCAGCTAATAAGCGGATATAAGCGCGTTGATTACTTCCCGCATCGATTCCATATCGTTTCATAAAATCCCGCTTGAAATATTCAGCCAGTTTATAATCGATATCGCGCCCTCCCAAATTCGGGTCTGACGTTGCAGCCAACATTTTTAATTGACCCTTGTGGAAGGCGCAAGCTGAGACTTGCAACGAAGCGTAACCGCAATCAACGAAAATTACGTTACGTGGTGTTTCTTCAGGTGCAGGCAAATCTTGTTTGTAAATACCGTAAGCGAGAGCCGTTGCTGTTGTTTCGTTTAATAAACATAAAACATTTAAATCTATAAAATAATAATAAATTAATTAAATTAATATTAACAAAGAAAAAAAATTTTTTAACCTTTCAATACACAAGGGAAATTTAATTTTTTGACTAGCGCCATCTTTTGGTGAATAGCTGATTTTAATGGCGATGTTGACATTGACAGATTGAAAATCTTTGAATTTTTGACAGATAATAAATATTAATATACATAGATGAAATGTTAATGTAAAATTATAACTAAAATTAGCACTACAAGTAATACTAGAGCTAGAACTATAAATATTTGAGATTCTAGATCTCTTACTTTTTGTTTTACTTCAATACAAATGTACAACAATCTAGAGCTGAATTACAATTAAAACTAGAACTAACACTAGACCTAGAACTAGAAATATCAGGAAACTTTCTAGCTCTAGGTCTAGTGTTAGTTCTAGTTTTAGTTCAATAAAAATATAACAACTAAAACTAGACTTGACACTATCACTAGAACTAACACTAATTCTAGATTTAGTATTAGTTCTAGCTTTGTTTCACAAATATCTGCGCTTATGATACAAAAAAGTTAAGTTATATAAAATTAATACAAAAAACTAAAGCCATCTATTAGTTGGAGATCATTTCTCTTAACAACTACAGATTCAATCAATTTCCTATGATGTGCAAGTGTATTGTAAGGTTAAAAAAAACTTTTTTTAATTATTTTACCGGCTATTGCAGCCGCATCAAGTAAAGCTTGTCTTTCAGCATGTGTATAATAAGAAGGAACAGAAATGACACAATCCTTTAATGCAGTTTCGATAGCAGCAGATGATGTATCTTTAAGTTTTGTAAAAAGCATAGCAAGACATTGTTCCGGGGTAAAAACACGAACTTCATTCAAATATCTCGTCTAAAAAATAAAAAAATTAAAACATAACATAAAAAAATCGTTGAATTAATCACCTCAATCCCCAAAACATCATCAGGTAACTGCTTGGTATTAAACGGTAAATGTTTAAGTTCATCTTGAACTTGTTTGTCGCTATATTTCCTACCAAGAAGTCTTTTTAAGCCATAAATGGTGTTTCGCATATTGGTCACCTGCTGATTCTTTGCGGCGACCCCCAAAATTCTGTTCTTCTCCGAGAAAGCAATGCATGTCCTTCAAAAAGAATTTAAACAACCAAATAAGTCGATATTAGTCACATACGTAAATCTCTTCACCCTTATTTGGTAATGACAGGTTATTAACAGTGAAAATAACGAAATCTTTGAAAGAAATGTCACATCTATGTGATTCAAATGAATTTTAAAAAAAATTTTTTAATTAATTGAAATACTTACGGTGTGGCTCTTAAACTGTAATCGTTTGCGATAGTTTCGATTCCTCCGGCTTTCGCGACGGCCACATAACACGATTCATTTCCGAAATCTATACCAATAACTGACATAGCAGCCATGACTTAAAAATTATTTAAAAACAAAAACCAATAAAAGTACGTGACCGGTACGTTCGATTTGGGTTTGGTGGGAGTCGGGGGCGCGCGTTTAAATGCACACTGGAATGAATATCAAGGGGCGAAAGTATTCGCTCAATAGAACCAATTTGTACACTCGAAAAACGTGCAACCGGGCCTGTGGTACCGATTGAAACTGTCGGAAGTGGCGTGAAGTCAGCCGCAATACAGCGATATTCAGCGTTCCAGAAAGTTCCTCAAACGATGACTTCGATCTATTTTATTCTATACGTCAAAAACGTCACTTTGGGAGTTTTTAAAAATTTGTGGTTATGTAATAAAATTTTTAATAGACACGATTTGAGATATTTACGCGTTTTATTGCGTTTGGGGATTAGTTAGTTACGCATTTCTATGTTTATTTTGAATTTTTTTCTTATAAAATGCGGGAAATTTTAAATAATTATGTCAATATTAAAAAAAAAATATTAATAAATATTCGATTAATAATCGACACAACTATTTTTTATTAAATAAGAAATAAAATTATATTTTTCAACGTTATTGTTATACTCATAATTGATATTACTTCATTTAACCTTGGTTAATAAATAATTGATTCGTTGGGTTGGGCTATATCAAATTCTTTTTGTGCTTTTTCTACAAGTTTAAAATTAATTTTTTTCTTAATAAAGCCAAAACTGAATTAACCACAATGGTGGTTATTTCAGTTTCGGGCCAAAATCCATTAAAATATATTTTAATTTTTACTTAAATGTCATTTGTAAAATTGGTTGCCTATTTTAATTTTTGTAATTATTTTGAATTCTATATTAAAATTTGCGAAAAGATTTCGAAATTTTTTATAAATAGCGTTAATTCATGATTGGTTAACCTAATCTATAAAGTTAGATTATAAATTTACAAATGTTGCTTTATTAACAACAAAATAGTGTACACAGATAAATAACATCCAATTTCACTACTAGTCCAATGGTCTTAACGAACATTAGTTCTTACTTAAAACGTCATCTGGAGTCGGGGGTGGGGAATTTTAAACTTTTACATTAATTATTGCAAAAATTAATCAACAATCCGCACATCGTCGGTTAGGCCCAACAAATTTAGGAGTGTGTCTTTAATGGGCAGTGCCCAGTAAAGACACCCATTAGAACTTTAATGCTGCTGCAAGAAAGTCAAAGCACAAACTTTGTATACGTTATGATTTATGAAAAAATACAGTTTGATAATTAATTATCGTACTCGACGTCATCATTGCAAGTATGCAACCAATATCACAGTATAGGTATTGCAAACGCTATTTGCGATATTGGTTGCATACTTGCAATGATGACGTCAGGTACAATAATTAATTAACAATTTGTCGTTTAATTAATAAAAATAAGGAAATGGGAAAATTTAAGATTCCGAGAAGAGAGAGTTTGATTTTATCAACGATTCTATACACCAAAGCATTTAAAGTTATAGTTCTAATTTTTAAGTTATATTTAATTTTCCATTAATACAATATTATAGAAGATAATAATTAATACACATCCTATACCTAATTTTAAAATTGTTGTTACATCGTATCGATGATAATAAATAATGAGAAATCGGGAACCTTTCAAATCCTAGATTTGTTCCGTATCGCTCCTAGACGAATTTGAACGATCTAAACAAAAAAAAAACGTTTAAAAATAATTATAAATCTAAAAAACAGCTTTACCCCTGGAAGTGTTTATTTTTGATCTACAATGCGCGCTACTGAGTCTTGTCGGAACTTGATCTAAACCGTGCTCGACTAATTCGGCTTCGACGACGTTTGTAAAATCCAAATTTGATGTGTCAACTAATTCTTCTACGCCTTGATCGTTTGCGGTTTCGTTTAAAGGGCATAAAATGCCGCCTATTGCGCCTTCTTCTTCTTCCTCCTCGATATCCATCCTGCTTTGATCGGCTTCGGCTAAATCCCCGTTTTGTATTATCGGTTGTTGTTGTTGGAGAGTGTCGGTAGTTGTTGATGATAACTCCGATTGCAAATTAAAGGGGTAAGTTTGACTTAATGGTTGGTCATTAATGGAAAGCTCGTTTGCCTCGGAAATACTATCTCGCATCAAACGAATTAATGATATTTCACCCCTTAATAATTCTTCGATTGTTTGCAAAATATCTAAACGTACTTCTTGCACTCTAAAAATTTATTTTATTTAATTTATTATTTTATGTTATGACACAACTTTACTTTTTTCCTTTAAACTGTTCGAAAGCTCCGGCCACTAAGCAAGCAAAATGTTTATGAATGATGCTATCTTTAGGATTGTTTGAGGAGTTTGTAAAAACCGACGAAAAAGTCGATTCGATTAAAAGCTCCTTAAGATAATCTAAAAGGTTTTGTTGAAGAACTTCCTCACTGTGGAGATTTAAAAACGTTAAGACGTCGGATAAATAAGTTGGGCAATCCGGATCCAAATTATTTTCATTCTAAACAAAAAAGAATTAGTTAAGTACTTGAATAATACAGGTGTCCGGAAATGACGTGTAAAACGGAAGATCACATGTACCTTGAGCAAAAATATGATGATTTGAACCTTTTAAACCTCTTTCCAAAGGTATTTTTCATTGGGTGATTGAGCATTCTTAAATAGTATTCTAAGAATTAAGTACTAAAGACAATGTATCGAAGCGGGTAGGAAAATGTTTCAAAATTCATAAATATGATTTGTTCTTGCTAGATTATAACATTTTTTTTTGAAAAGATTTTTGAATTACTTTACTTTTATCCATAGATTCAGATTTTGCAATCAAAAACATAGGGTGCCATTTAAAAAATTGGCCGTGACCTTCACAGGACCTTGAAAATAAGGTCAAGGTCAAAAAAATTATCGCCATATGGTTTCCTCCTTCGCACAGAACAACTTTCATTTGGTTCATTTTTATGTCAAATAAACCGTTTTCGAGATAATCGCTTGTCTCATGTTAAATGGACCCCTGTATAGATAACTTGAGTTAAATCATCATATTTTTGGTCAAGCTACTTGTGATCTTGCGTTGTACACGTCACTTCCAGGCACCTGTATAAATAATTTTATTACCAAGTGATTTCCAAACGATGGTAAAATAAAATACGATTGAGATTGACTTTCCAAGGCGTCATTTTCCAAACTTTCATCGTGACTAACCTGTCGTAAACTATCAGTTGCGCTATTTGAAGTAACCAAAGAATTTGAAACTAAACTTTGTATACTTTGCAACGTTTGTCTCCTTAACGGATCGGAACTAATTAATTGTAAGTCTCTAAATAATTGTAACAAAAAATGGGGGCGCCCTTGATTGGCCGAAATCAATGATGCCACCTCTTTATAAACATTCTCCCTTAATTCCTCAAATAATTTCGATTTTTGCGTCGTACTCGTCGCTTCATCACTCGTAGTCCATTCGTTTCTATTATTTCTAATTTGGGGTGGTTTCTCGATTTCTTGTTGTTCCTCCACATTCGATTGTGTAACAACTTCCGGTACCATCGCATTTTCGTTCGATTTGTCGCTTGAAATCGATTGTTCCGGTTCATTTTCCGTTAATCTTCTTCTCGGAGTATTTTCCACCGAACTTACCGCGGTGTCTTGTTGAAAAATAGTGTTGCGTTTTTGTGTTGTGGTACCACTCGAAGTTGAAAAAGGATAAACGAAAGCGGTGCCATCAATCGAGTTGTTAAGGCGATCGTTTGAGAGCGGTTGTTGGTGTGATGATGCGTTTTGAAGACCTTCGTTACTTTTTGTTGATAAAAGGTTTTGGCGGGAATAACTAAGAATAAGGTTGAGGGTACATTTAATTGTTATTATTGTTAAATCAAAAAAAAATCAAACAAAAAATTAATTAATAAAAATTAATTTTAATTTAACCTACCTTCGAAAATTGTCCCAATAATTATTGGCTCGATTACCGGGGGCAACCTGATTATTAAGAGCTGGTCCGTTCCAAATTTGCGACGGTAACGGAGGTTGCCCCCCTTGATGATGAATACTATGGTTATTCAAAACAGCGGCATTCTCTAAAATACGCGCATTATGCAAGTTATTATGGTGAGCGGCGTACTCAAGATTAGTAGTAACATGCATCGGATGATTTAAATTTGGGAGGGAAGTCGCTGAAGATACTTGTTGTTGTTGTTGTTGGTGATTCAATTTCGGGGGAATTCCATTCGAATAAAGTGGGGGTGGAGGAGGGAGAGGATTCGATTGGTGTTCGAAAGATAACTTTTCTTGCATCTAAAAAATAAAAAATTAAACCCAACCAAAAATAATCACCAAAATCTTTACCATCATAACATTACTTCTCAAAGTTGCAATTTCTTTTTGTTGTAACCACAACATTTGGCAACATTGATTCAACGTATTCAACATATAAGCTTGCGTTTGCAAAGTGTTGGTTGCGATCCAATTTTGATAATTCGAATTAGGATCGAGATTAAAATTCGGAGGTAAAGAATTCGCCGCGTTAAAAATATTATCAAACCCTCCCGTTTGATTCGACGAACCACTCGGGGCGTTATTAACCACATTTAACGCGTTCATCGGGTTCGGTGACGACGAAAATTCCCGACGCGGTTCCGAATACAACGGAGAAGGAGTTAAATTATTCCTAACGTTTTGTAAAGACCGCCTTGGTTGCTTCGTAATCAAATTTTGTTGCTCCAACATCGAATCGCAAACGCTTCGAATTAACTCTAATTGTTTTTGAGTTTGAGTTTTATTTTGGGAATCTCTTTCGCTGTTACTTCGAATTCGTTGCTTTGGTAATCCGGTGGTGTTCGAAATCGGTTGTATCCCGCTGTTATTGTCGGCAGTTCTCGAGGAGGCCCTAGTTTCGGAAGCTCGTTCGGGGCAAAAAAGGAATTGCCTCGCTTGTTGTTGATTTTTTAAGTAATCATCGATCGTTGTAACTTCAATTGGGATCATTGCTGAAGGTACCGGGTTACTTGCCACGTCTGAATTTACATTTTCATCTGAGTATTCGTTAGCGTCCCCTTCTTCTTCGGCTTCATCACTTGAGTAAGCCCCACTTTTCGGGGTGGTTGGATACATCCTATAAAAAGCCGCCGCTTCAAACGTGTTATTAATCGTTGCCATATCGGGTTTATATTCGCATTGAACGTCTTGATTTAGGTTAGATGATGCAGCTTTGTGTTTGCACATTAATTCCTCGAGTTCGCGTTTTTTCGCTTGTAATTCCCCTTGGAGTTTTAATCGTTCTTTTTCTTGGGCGTTCATTGTTTTTTTGTTAACTTGTTTGTCTTTGAGTTTTTGTTCGTTTGACGGGTTTGATCGGGTCGGGTTATCATCTAATTGATTGCGTTGGATTAAATTGTGTGATTTCGAGGTTGTTACAATTTCATTAATTTCGTTATCGGATTCGTTAAAGTTTAACTCAGAGTTTTTAACCACCTCTAACATATCTTTTAATTTCGATAATTGTTCCTTCATGACAACAATTTTTCTCACTTGACTCCCCATGTCATCCTCTTCTGATTCGTCATTCATCGTTTGCAACTGCGATACTAATTGGTCGACTTGTCTCTTTTTATTTTGTAACTCCCAAAGTTTTCCTTGCAACTCCGCGTGTTCGTTTTGTAATTGAACATCGCGTTTATCCAGCATTTGTATTAAATGGGTCCGATTATCGTTAGTATCCCGTAATTGCCCCACTTTATGTTGTAAAACCTCAACTTGATTTTGCAAATTCTCCGTTAAATTATTCGAAGTCGATGGCTCCAATCTCAACGCATTCCAACGCTCCTCTAATTCCCGAATATCTTGGTTCCCCTTTTTGCTGCTTGCGTTTTCGGAGGAAGAATCAACGTCGTAATTTTGGTGCGAAATTAATTTTTGCTGTGCTAATCGAGCCTCACGAAGTTGATTTTCGGCTTTTTGTTGGAGCGTTAAGAGGAGATTTTCTTGTTCGAGGAGCAGTTCTAATTGGTGGTTGGTTTGTTCGACCTTTTTTTCAATTTGATTCTTCGGTAATCGCATGATTTGCTCTTGTACGGTATCAATTCCATTTTCAATCGACTAAAAAAAAAAATATTGAGGTGATATATTTCAATTACCCTAATTTTGTTTTTTTTATTGGCCCCACGTTGGGCGACAATTACTATGTGATATATTTTAGATAATTCAAATAAATAATTCAACACTGTTCTACAACGTTGTCAAATTTTCAAATAACTCAAAGGTAAGCTTAACAAAACTCTCAGTGAAATAATTAATAATAATATCTTTTTATTTGTAGTTAATACGAAGTAAATTAATTAATCAATTTTAAAAATTGAATTAAACAATGAAATTGTAATAACATAACCAAACCAAAATAACTCAAATTAATCATATTTAAGGTAAGGGAAATTTTAAATGAAAATTGAAAAAAATTAAAACGAATAATAATGAAGTTGAAAATTATAACTTAGCTTATCTTGTAGTTTTCGGTAAAGGAAACTTGGACTCTCCAAGGAATAGGTAACAATGATTCTTGATTGGAATTGGAATAATTGCATCTGGAACCACTTAATTTCCTTTTTTGTTATTAAAGGTGATTAATTTTAATTCGAATAATCTTCTTATTTAACTTGTTATAATAAGTTTCTATTTTTTGAGGTTATGTCACAATGGTGATTGACAGGTAACCTAACTTTTTTGGTTTTTAAAATGATCGCGGACAAAAATCAGCGTGCGCTCCTCACGTTCGGAATCACACTAAAATCTACCAGTTTCGTTTGTTTATTGCTAAAACGTTTTAAATAACGTTTTCTGATTGGTTAAATTCTTCAACTTGAAATTCGTAATTTAAATTTCTCTGGTATAGCCAACATGAAAATGTCAAATTTCACCAATTAAATTTTATAAAAAAATTATTGAAATTTCTATTTTAACAATATTTATGTATGAAATTTTGTAGTTTTATTGCTTTAACTTTGTTTCGCTAATTTCGGAACATTTTTCTTTTAGATTTCAACGTCCATCTTCAAAAATACATTCAAATATTTAATCTACGGATTTTTGTCCAATTCTTCATCAAAACTCCCATATGATGGATGGTTTTCGTTCTTGACATGCTAAGATTATCGTTTTCAATAGTTTCAACCGGACAAACATTAATTATAATATAAAAATTAATGTAAAATGAAATTTGAGGTTATGTCACTGTCATAACCTCAACTGCTTGGTTATATTATTACAATTTTAATAAAATACGCATTAATAAATCAAAAAAGGGTTAATTCATGCTTCAATCAATCAAAGGTGAGTAAAAACACATCAAATAAATTTAAAATCACCTTTAAACGATCACCTTGATTATCGCTATTTTCAAATTCCTCAATATCAGACAACATTTTACTCAATTTATTTTCGCTATCTTTTAGATCGTTATAAGTCTTTTCGATTTCTTCTTTTTCGATTTGATCGTACTAAACATTTTTTGATTTATAATAATTGGCAATAATTAAAAATAAACTTTTTTTACCTGATGATGGTCATCGGAATTTTTCATATTTGAAACGATCGAAGAAGTAATGTTTAAGCACTCCCTAATTTGGTTTAATTTGTCTTCGATTTGCTTTTTATCGGGATATTTAGTGATGTTATCGCACTTTGTAATCGTTTCCGTTGAATTACGTCTTGAATCGCCTTTTGAATCAATCGGCTCTAAAATAAATGAGATAAGACAAATTTCTTTTCAAAATTTTCTTTATATTTACGCTGCAAAGAATTTTGCTCCTCGAGAGTGTGGTCCATGATGTGAAAAGAACTCCCCGGCGATCGCTCCGAGTTCCCAAAGTGTCTTGTCCGGTTCACGACATACGAATCTCTGCCCTATACGTTTCGAGAAAAAATGGCAAAGATGTAACTTTAAATATAGGTCGACTATTTATAGATAGAGTGAGAAACGGGGGCCCAAAGTGCAGTGGGAGCTTTTATTAAACGTCTAGTTTACTACTCACCAGGTTGTTCGACAACAAATTCGGATCTTGCTCTTGACTATGTATGGTATTTTTAGCATATTTTATTTTAGGAACGGTCCCGGTTCCCTTTTTCGAATAAAGTTTACGTCTGTCGTCAGACATTGCAAGTTTCTTTAACTTTTAAAAACGTTTAAAACACCACGCACGAACCTATAATTACAACCAAAACTAATCACTACTTAACACATTAATACATCGATTTATATTTAAGCGGAAACAACATTCTCTTTAAGTTTTTTTCGATAATTTTAAAAGAAAAATAAAACAGAAATGAACTGTCAAATACCGGTATAGGTTAAGCATATGGCGCCATCTAGCGATTTGTACGAAGAACTATCAAAATTTGAAACTATCGTTCTCTTTGAACTAGCTTTTCTACATTCGTTATAATAGCAAAGGATATGAACGAAACAATGAACGTGGTATCTAATGAACTAAAAAATTAGTTCTTTTTTAGAACTATAACTCACTTGGAAGCAAACAGTTCAAATCAGATAATGACTATTATTATGGTAGGTAGATGGCGACATAATACATATTAATTTCCCATTTCAATTTTCAACCCGACATTGAATTTGTTTTGTTTAACTATTAAAAAACTACTGTAACTAGTTAAAACAAGTTAAAAAATTCATTTAGAACTACTTCAGAAATCAAATAATCTTAAAATGAACACTCTTCATAAAGAACCACTTTTCCCCCACCACTAGCGCGATCTATCATTGAGATGTCAAGTTAAAATCACTGTAATTTAAAATATTTTGTCACTTTTTGAGAGGTTATTTATTTAAAATTATAAACGTCATTTTGACATATTCCATCAAATTAAATAAAATGGTAAAATTACATAAAAAATTATTAAATAAATCATCAATAAACCTCATCAATGAGATCATAACTAAAACCGGCACAACAAAAAGAAATATTTAAACGGCACCTCAAGGTCGGGGTGATTGAGAGTTTTTTAAAAGAAATGACTGAATAGAGGAAAGAACTTCTGCGTTTGCGCCGTTTTAAAAACGGGACCAAGAACCGCCAGCGAAATGATGACAGTGTTGAAAGTGTTCTTTTTTCCTCATCTATTTAATTAAAGATTCGCTGTAAAGTGCAAGATTATTTTTAAGATCGCGTTGTTTTAGAAGAGCAGGTGGTGTATCAAAATCGTGTCTTATTGAAATCGTTTTAATTTTTTAATGCACACATGTTTTGGCCAGCACTTTGCACCGTAGAATGGGTATTAAATAAATTACTACTTTTATTACAACGTTATTTGATCTTGATTTTGTTTGATTCAATTTTGAATGAGTTTCCTAAACGTTATCTAACCTCAATTTGTTGCTGTAATCTTTGACCTTGAACTGTTATCATTATGCATTTCCTCAATGTTACATATTTATTAAATATTCTATTTATTCCAATGTTATTTCTCTATATTAATCAAAAATATTATTTTTATAAACAATTCCTTATTTTCTTCATATAAATTAAGTTGTTTTTCGACATAACCTCACTTTTTTTTTCTAAGTTTTTTCCAAATTAATAAATCTAAAATGATTTCGTTCACTATCTCTTGATGATATCAATTATAGTAGTTCGTTACAAACGTTATTACTCTATAAATTGTAATAATCCTTGAACTGTTGTACTCTAACGTTATTCGTTTTGTAAAAAATCTCGTTTTTTTCTCCCATTTCCAATTTTGCTCCCAACCCGTGCATATTTATATTTCTTAATATTTAGTTACATTTTAATTAGACTTTTTTGTGTGATTTGCAAAGGAAACTTAAAGAAAAAGAAGTGCGATGGATGAAGATGATGAATTTTATGACACAATTTCCTTGAATTCTCAAGCTCCAATACACCGGAAACGAATTAATAATAAGGAGTACATTAGTTTATCGAGAAATACGATTTATCATTCAGCTATAGAATTGGATAATATGGATAATCATGATGCTACTTCATCAGTAAGTATTATTTAATAAACATTAATTGTTTACCTTTAAGTGGGTTTAAAGTCCACTAATTTATATCCTCATTCCCAAGGTAGTTTAAGGAATAATTTAGCCTAATTGATAATTTCCTTTATTTATTATTATGCATTTTTAATTTATAGAATTGGAGGAGTTTCTCTATGGAAGATTTACCCGATTATGTTATTGCTTATGACACAACAACGGATCCTATTAAATTAAAAAAGAGGGAAACCTTTGAACAAAATTTAATTGACGTTGGTTTGATTTTAAAAAAAGACGAGCACCAACACAGAATAAATTTCATCAAGATTTATGTTCCCAGAGAAGTTTTATGTCAATACGCAGAACTACTTAAACTAAGACTACCAATCAAAGATGTAAATAAAATTTAAAAAAATGAATTAAACCTTTAAATCAAACTGATTTTAGCCGGAAGGTTTTACCCCTAAAGAAAATATTTTTTCATCTGTGATAAAAAGGTGTTTAGATAGGTGCAAGGTGAGATTGGACGAAAAAAAATTTCCACCACAACAATATAAATTAACGGCCGAGTTCTCCAGGGACAAATATTATTTGTAAATACATATCAATACTTAATAATTAACAATTAAAATTAATAAACGAGTTTACTTTTTTGTAGATTTGATGTTGACGATCCAAATTTTTTTAATATTGGAGTTCGAATATCTGTCATTTCTTACATTTTAGATCGAGAGAAATATGGAAAGGAAGATCATAGTAAAGGGATTAAAAATTTAATTTCTACAGATGTTTATAAAGCTGCATATCCATTACATGATGTTAGTATTAATTAATTTAGTTTTTTTTAATTTGAGGTTATGTCAAAAATTAATGTGTCAAAAATTAATATGTCAAAAACATAACCTTAAACATAACCTAACTTTATTAATAAAATTTGTAATTATTTTTTTTAGGGCGATTTAAACAACAAATCATCAAAACGCAAATTATTATTAGATGAATGGGCATCAGTTTCAAAATGGGTTAAATACCAACCAATCGATGATATAAAAGATTATTTCGGCGTAAAATTCGCTTTGTATTTTACATGGTTAGGATTTTACACCCACATGTTAATTCCTGCCTCAATCGTTGGGATTCTTTGTTTACTTTATGGCATAATCAGCATACAAAACGATACTTTAAGTGGAGATATATGCAACAAAGATATAGTAATGTGCCCACTATGCGATCGTGTGTGTAATTTTTGGCAATTAAAAGATAGTTGTGTGTATTCGAAAATCGTGCGATTAATTGATAATCCAGCGACGATTTTTTTCGCTGTGTTTATGAGCGTTTGGGCCGCAGTTTATTTGGAGTTGTGGAAAAGATACAGTGCTGAGATTGCTCATCGTTGGGGTTTAACCGGATTTGATTTGTTAGCAGAACCTCCTAGACCCGAATATTTAACGCGATTAGCCAATGCCAAAAAGAAAAAGTTAAACGTTGTTACATCGTTGGAGGAGCCGGTTGTTCCGTTTTGGAGGGTTAAGTTACCGTCGATTATTTTAAGTTTTTCCATCGTTTTACTTTGGGTGAGTTAATCTCAAAAATTGAAATAAATGTCGGTATAATTCAAGAATCATCGTGTCTCTTAAAAATCGACAATTTTTTTTTATCGACAAAAACTTCGTATTAGAAATTGAACGCATATGGCGCCATCTGTTGGGGATATTTTGGAATTATTCAGCTAAGAACCGAACCACTAGAATATAGGTTGGATTGGGTTTATATATAAAAGCTCCAACCATAGAATAACTGTTTGGAAAGTGTTTGAAGCGACTGGTTGGGAATCCCTCAGATGCAATTACCTATGGCAATTACACCTGTCAAATAATGCCGCACATTTGAATATCACTGCATCATATGACATGTGAGATTGTATCTGACGAGCTTCCAACAACTTATAACGTTAGCTGAAACAAAGCAATTATAATCTAATTATTTAATCATACCATTATTACTTTAACATACTCTTACCGAAAAATCACTTTAAAATGACGTTTTCATATGTCATTCTGAACAAACTTCAACTTTATAATTTTAAAACTTGACGTTAGCAGCAAATTTAAAAATATAACGTTAATTGGAATCTATACTTTTTAAATTAAAAGAATAATACTGATAATAATTGTTATTGCTGTCTCTCATCATTCCCACTATTAATAATAAAATTGTTAGTTTAATTAAATTATTTCAGTATAGACGCTAATGCCATCTTACGGTGGGATTTCGACATACAATCAGTCCCAAGTTCTCCTATCAAAGATCCTGGGGGCTGCTTTGCCATTACTATTTGCCAAAGAAAACTTCACGGTATAATTAATGTTTGTAAACAAAACTAACCTTACCTAACATTCCTTCACGCTATAATTGACATTACAAAAGAAAACTTCACGCTATAATTGCCATTACTAATTGCCAAAGAATGCTTCATGGTATAATTAATGTTTGTAAACAAAACTAACCTTACCTAACACTCAGTGTCTGACGACACAGGGCTAAACCCGAAACTTAAAAATATACAATAACTTAGCGCTGAATAACAATTAAAACTAGAACTAACAGTTGCACTAGAACTAATACTTATTGTTAGACCAAATGAATTTAATTTCAAAACATGACATAATCAAATTCTTTGTTAATGTTGCCAACTTAATAATTTTATTCTAATTGTCACTTTGACAGAAAAATCTCTGTAATACATAAAAATTAACAATTTGTTTTGCTATTATATTGCAATCATTAAAAAACCTTAATAAAAAAAATTGTTTTTGTAATCAATTAAAAAAAACATTTTTTTTAATTAATTAAAAAAAATATTTTTGGTTATAATCGCTAACCAATATGAAATTAGTTACATAAAACGACATCCAAATTGTGCGTCTCGTAAGACGGCTAAACCCTAATGTGTGCAAGTCTATTGGTAGTTCTAGTTCAATAAGAATATACAACAAACTAACGCTGAATTAAAATTAAAACTAGAACTAATACTAAATTGAACTAGAATGTTTCGGGTTTAGTCGTGCGTCTTCAGAGGCAGGTCTAGTGTTACTTCTAGTTTTACTTTAATGAAAAATATACAACAATCTAACGCTGAATAGCAATAAACCCGAATGTTTCAACTTTTAAGTGTTCTTAATTAATTCCAGTTCTAGTTCAATAAGAATATACAACAATCTAAGGCTAAATAAATATTAAAACTAAAACCAACACTAGATCTAGAAGTAATTGAGTTTAGCCGCACGTCTCTCAAGACGGATAGTTCTAGTTTTACACTAGCACTATCATTCAGACCTAGAACTAGAATCATTCGGGTTTAGCCGTGCGTCTTTAGTGCAATAAAAATATGCAACATAGTGATATCTTATGCTAACTAGCACTACCTACAACTGTTACTAGAACTAGCATTAGAACTAGAAACATTCAGGTTTAGCCGTCTTAAGAGACGCACGGCTAAACCCGAATGTTTCTGGTTCTAGGTCTAGTGTTAGTTCTGCCTTTCTTTCAATAAAAATATACCACAATCTAACGTTAAACAACATTTAAAACTAGAACAAACACTAGACCTAGAACTAGAAACATACGAATTTAGCCGCAGCAGGTCTTGTATTAGTCTTGTACTAGTTAACACTAGACCGAAAACTACAAATATTCAAATTTAGTCCCACGTCTCTTAAGACGGCTAAACCTGAACGTTTCTAGTTTTAGGCCTAATGTTAATTATAGTGACACTGCTAGTGTAAAACTAGAACTAACATTAGACATGATGATTCTTGAATTTTTCCTAAATGCAATTTTTAATAAATTTTTTTTTAGGTTATTTTAGCTCTAGGTGTTGTAGCCGGAATAGTTTTATACAGGATGTCTTTGTTATCATCATCAGCTTTGTATTCGGATAAAACTAGTTATAGGATTTATGTTGTTCCCTTAACGGCTGGTTTAATTAATTTAGTTTGCATCGTAATTTTGAATTTTCTTTATGATCGTTTGGCCCAATGGTTAACGGAAATGGAACTTCAAAGAACGCAAACCGAATTCGATGATAGTTTATCCCTAAAAATCTATATGTTTCAATTCGTTAATTATTACTCCTGCATTTTTTACATTGCATTTATAAAAGGGAAATTTGTTGGATACCCGGCTAAATACAACCGAATTTTTGGGCATCGCCAAGAAGAAGTAAACTTAATTCCCTTTTTTTTTCATTTAATTAATCAATTAATTAATTAATTTATTTTTAGTGTAATCCCGGAGGGTGCTTGATGGAATTAACGATGCAACTTGCAATTATAATGATAGGGAATCAATTTATAAGTGGAATAATAGAAATGTTACTCCCGGTTTTATTAAAAATCTATAATACGATATCAAGCGGATTTAAATCGAACGAAAAAACGCATTGTAACAATGTAAACGAGATAAACGAGGTTGATTGTAAACAATATAAAGAGGATTATAAATTAAATTCGATGGATTCGAGAACTTTATTCACGGAATATTTAGAAATGGTGTTGCAATACGGTTTTGTTACGATTTTTGTTACTGCGTTTCCTTTGGCTCCTCTTTTCGCATTGATTAATAATATTTTTGAGATGCGTTTAGACGCGAAAAAGTTTATTAAGTATTATCGTAGGCCGGTTCCGCAACGGGTGAAAAATATTGGGGTTTGGTACAATATAATGAACATTATCGGAAAAATTTCGGTCGCATCAAACGCCATTATTATCGCATTTTCATCAAATTTCATTCCAAAATTGGTGTATACCATTAAATTAAATCGAAATCATACAGAATCGGGATTTTTAGAGCACTCATTAGCTTATTTTAACGTAAACGATTTTCCTAATACTACAGCTCCTTTAGAAAACTTCTTAAATGTTACTACTTGCCGTTACCCTGAGTATCGAAATCCTCCCTGGCATTCACAAAAGTATAAACGCCCCGTTGAGTATTGGCACGTTCTTGCCGCGCGTTTAGCTTTTATTGTGATTTATCAAAATTTAGTTAATGTTATTATAACGGCGATTCAATATGCTATACCGGATGTTTCTCGAAAATTAAGTGATCGAATTAAAAGGGAAGCTTTTAAAATTAACGAGACTATTGTTAAACATGAAATGGAATATCGATTAAGAACGCGGAATAAAAAAGGGGGGAGCGTTGTAAGAAGGAAAAACGGGGATTTATCTGGAGATACAATCTTTAGAGATGTCTCTTCCGAGAATAACGGGGATATAATGTTTATCGATGCAGGTGGGGCGTTAGAAAGTGGAAATGATGCTGTTACCGAGCTTTAGATGGGTGCCTTTATTCCGTTTATAAATTTAATAAAAATTGGGGGACCTTAAACTCGTATTAAACAAAAACAACTTTAAGTACTTAAAATTAATCATTAACATTTTAGGCGATGACAATAAAATTATTTTTTCGGAAAATGTGATAAAAAGGTTAAATTTAAAGGTGTCTGAATCAATTAGATTAGGATTCTTTTTTCTTCGATAGTTAATTTCTTTTCTAGTCTATTTTCTTAACGATATATACATAAAATGGGGCACAGTTTTTCATATACTAACTCTCAAATCAAAAAAATCACAAAAAAGTATTTTTTTACTAAGAGTTTCCTAGAATCTCGCTTGAGGAGCACAAATCGTTTTTATTTAAACAATTTTAAATTTTATATAATTTTTTTTATAATTCTTTAACCATTTTGTTATAAATATTAAATAAAAATCTGTTAAAATAATTTTTTTTTTAATTTTCCTTAAAAATCTTTAACATTTAAAATATTTTTTTTATGAATAATAGATGGCGCTAATCAAGATGATAACGTCATTAAAATGATCATCTATAATTATTAATTATTTTTACTATAAATTTATTATTTATTTATTTTGTTATTAATAAATATGTTATTTATTTTTTAAATTAATTTAATAAGAATTAAGTGCAAAAATTACACGAAATATTCCGCCATCTCACAGCCATAACATTAACTTCCATTTATTTAAATTTTCGATATATGCCTCATAAAAATATCCTCAAAAAAGATCAATTATGTCTTTTACGCCGAAATCTCTCAATTTGCGTCTTTTAAAAGTCCTCCTTAACTTGATAATGAATTGAGTAATGAATTAATCAATTTTTAAGTGTAAAAAGAGACTCAAAATCACGCCATCTAACGGCCATAACATTAACTTAACAATTATTTAAAGTTTTGATATATGCCTCATAAAAATATCCTCAAAAAAGAACAATTATGCCTTTTACGCCAAAGTTTTACAATTCGCGTCTTTTAAAAGTCCTTAACTTGATAATGAATTGAATAGTTAATTAATTTTTAAGTGCAAAAAGAGACGAAATATCCCGCCATCTAACAATTATAACATTAACTTCCCATTTATTTAAAGTTTTGATATATAAAAATATCCTCAAAAAAGAACAATTATGTCTTTTACACCGAAATCTCTCAATTCGCGTCTCTTAAAAGTCCTCCTTAGCTTGATAATCAATTGAATAATGAATTAATCAATTTTTAAGTGTAAAAAGAGATGCAAAATATCCCGCCATCTAACGGCCATAACATTAACTTCCCATTTATTTAAAGTTTTGATATATGCCTCATAAAAATATCCTCAAAAAAAAAACACGACGAAGTTTCACAATTCGCGTCTTTTAAAAGTCCTTCCAAACTTGATAAAGAATTAAATAATTAATCAATTAATTTTTAAATGTAAAAAGTGACACAAATATCCCGCCATCTAACGGCCATAACATTAACTAATTGAATGTTTTGATATGGCGTCATAAACATAACCTCAAAAAAAGAACAGTTATGTCTTTTGCGCCTTTTATTTCGCGCCGAAATCTCACCATAGTCTTACAATTCGTGTCGTTAAAAAGTGCACCTAAACTTGATTAAGAGTTAAGTAAATAATTTAAAAAGAAAATGCCAAAATTAAGCTACCCTCAAGCTTTAATGAGTCAACAAATGGGGCTATGTAAGTACTAAATAATTAATGTAATTAAGTTTCATATTTGATTCCACAAATTTATTCTTATTTTAGATAATTGGCGAACGTGTGATAGTGTTATGAAAAGGTTAGGTTGTTCTGCAAATGAAGATTTTTCATCAACAGAACTTGAAGATTACAACGTAGATTCTGTTAATAGTTGTGATTCGCCCGTGTTTGCATGTAAATTCGCCCAACAACAAGGTTGTTACATCATTTTAACTGTTTTTATTCAATTTGTGGAGTAAAAATTGTTTTTTTAGGTTATGAACACATTTTAGCATTAGCTAATGAAGATGGTCGAACAGGAATTTTAGACACCAAAACCATGGAAAGAACAAGCTCAAAAGTCCATTATAACGCTATTTTCGATGTAGCATGGATGTTTAACCAAATGAAATTAGTTACAGCTTCAGGAGATCACTCTGCAAAATTAGTTGATGTCTCAAATGATGGTTTAAAAATAGTCAGGTGGTTCACCGGGCATAATAGATCTGTTAAAACGTTAGCGATTAAACAAGATGATTCCTCAGTGTTTGCTTCTGGGGGTCGAGATGGAAAAATACTTTTATGGGATACTCGTTCTTGGGAATCTTGTGCTAATTTTATAGCAAAACCAGATAAATCAATTCCTTACGCCCATTTTAAACAGTCAAAATTAAAAAAGAAACACACTGAGACCACATTATCGGCGTTAAATTCAGTTACAGGGCTTGCATTTCAAGATGAAAACACTTTAATTTCATGTGGTGCTGGTGATGGGATTATTAAATTGTGGGATTTAAGAAAAACTTATAATAATAAACGTGATCCTACTCCTAAAAACATAATCGTAAATCCCATTAAAAAATCAGGATCGAGTAATTTAATTGTTGATAAAACCGGAAGTCGCCTCTATGTTAGTTGTTTAGATAGCATTATTTATTGTTATAACATATTAACTTGTAATCCATCCCCTATAATGACATATAAAGGTCATCGAACAAACACTTTTTATGTCAAATCATGTTTAAGTAATGATGGGAATTATTTATTAAGCGGAAGTAGTGATCAATATGCCTACATTTGGAATGTAAATTCATCAGAACCTATTGTAAGATTAAGTGGGCACAGAGCTGAAGTGACTTGTGTCGCTTGGTGCCATAGCGGTGATACAACTTTAGTAACATGTGCCGATGATTTTCGCCACAAAATATGGCGAATTGGTCCAGAAACGTTTCCGAATGATTGGAACGTTGTAGGTAAAGGCCAAGCTGAAGTTTTAACACCAAAAATACCGATTAAGCGACCATTTGAACCAATCGAAAATGAATTAAAATCGTTCCGATTAAAATCATGCGAGTTTTGTTTAGATGTAAGTGATATGAGACGATGTGAGAACTGCGGAAGTAATCAGTTCAATTTGAAACGATTAAACACAAGTCCTAAAACTCCCACGAAAAGTAAAAAATTAAAATCTCAAAGTGATCCGATTTCGGTGCGATCATTATTTGGTAAAAGTGATGTTAAAATCGACGATGTTTTATTAGAGAATTTACCGAATTTTAACGTAGATGGTTCAGCGCCCCATTTGCATCATTCGCCCCAAAAGAAAATCGATCGTGATTGGTTGACAAAGTTGCGAACTGAAAAACATATTTTAAGCCCAACTTCTCCGAGATGTGAAAGAGATGAAAGCCCAAGAACGAGATCGGCTAAGAAGCGAAAAATGGAAAGAAGCGAATCACCGCATAGCCCCCTTTTAAAGTTTTTCCGTGCAACAAATAATAGTATTATGAAAGATTCAAATTGTTGCCTTTCGAAAGCTGGTTTGGTACAAGAATCGACTATTAATACGTAAAAGATGTGTTTTAATATTTTTTTTTTACACGTTTGTTCCTAATTGGTGTTATTTAAAGAGATTCTTAACCCCACTTTTAAATTTCAAACGATTTACTTTAAGTTTGTGAGACTGAAACGATTTTAAATTATTTTAAATGTATAAATAATGTATTTTTTTTAAATTTGTGTATGGAATTGATATTATAATGTTGTGTTCCAATTAATAAATAAAAATCTAACGTAAGAGAATATTCAAGAATCATTATGTAGCTTAAAAATCGACGATTTTTTTTAATCAATGTGAAATGACCCAAAAAGACACGCCAAAAATAAAAAGAAAGTGCCGAAAGGTGTAGAACATATCGAAAAATCACATTAAGGTTTCGATGTGACGTCACCAGCAATTTTGACAAATTGTTGTGAAGTTGGTAACATTGGATTTGTGTCACTTGACGTTTAGACTTTTTTCAAAAATTTATTTAAAAAAATAAATTTACGGAATCAATTTCATTAGTAATCGTGGACAAAGTATAGTTTTGAAAGACGATCTTTCCATTATTTATTTTATAGCCATGCACAAAATCAATCTGATAAACTTAAAACTTATACGAATACTTCGGGAGTATTCGGCATTATTATTATAATATTTAAAACAAACAAGTGTATATAGTATTAAAAAAATTGTAATAAACATAAAATAATAATAAATAACAATATATTGTGCTGTTTTACTTGTGTGATGTTTTATACACAAGTTATTAATCTATAATTATTTTTTTTTAATTTTAAGAGACTCTTATTAAAAACTCAGGGTTTCGGGCAACTTCAGGTTCAAAAGAATATTAATCAGGTTCAACAAAAAATTCATTTAATTAATACAAAAAATTTTTAAAATAAAATAGATAACTGCGGTTATCGACTAAAATATCGATATTAGAGAGAACCCGTTTATTATTTGAGAGAGAGAGAGTAGGAAAAAACTAATTAGAACCGTTCTTTGAAAATAACAAATGGCCGATGTCTTAAGTTGTCATCAAACTCATTAACAAAAAATAGAATTAAATAAATGAACGTTATTCAAGAAAAACTAATAAATCTTTACACACAAGTAAGTATTGATCAAAATTATAGGAAACTCTTGTGAGTTGTTCTTTGAGTTTGATTCTTTGAATTTTCTTTTTGTAGGTTATGTTAAATAATAAAATAAAATTATCATCCGACTCACTGTATAAAAGAAAGGATTGGAGTTCAATGTGGTATCTGGATTATGGAATTGTCTCTTGTGTTCGGGGCACTAACTAATTTTCTGGATTGTTTACAGGATTCTTCTTACGGGTAATTACACTGTTTGTTCTTCGGAAATAGGGTCTTGGATGATCTCGAAGAAGTATCGGTAATTCTCGGAATAGGTTGTAGGATGATTCTCTTTTTATTTTAATATTGTAAGTTGGTTTGACTTTTTTTTTTTTTTTTTAAATTATCTTAAATTTTCGAGGTTATCTCTTCAAAAATTCTTCTATCTGACGACGTGGATTCGACGCTGGTCCGACAACGACTCTCTCACTCCCTGTTCGCGATCTCCTTATATACCCCGGCACTCCAACTGTTTTTTCCTCGTTTCTGATTGGCTCTTAGCTTCGCGCCCTTTTCAAAATTCAAAATTCTTGCTTCGAAACTAGCGTCATCTCTTGATTTTTCTCGGAATTAACCTTCAAAATTTAATTCTTTTTTCGTTGATTTCTCCCTTATTCCTTTATGAAACGTAATAAAACTTCGTATTCAACGTTGTCTTTTCTTGTTTATAGACATACATTGGAGTACACGCCCAATTTCAACAATGAGTAAAGTTAGAAAAATTCAAATTTAAATCAAGGATTTCTTTCTCAAAATAACGTTAAAACCTCAAAAGATGGATGAAAAATGTGCTTTAGGAGCTGAACTATAATAATTGATACATTTGGAAATAAACAAAACGGTTTAAGATAAGATTTTCACCAACAAAAAATCTCTCTGTCACTAATTTTAGGTTATGTTCTCTCGGTGAACTAAGAGAATGTTAAAATTATTACAATATATTCAGAACGGTAAAGTCCCTAGATTTACAAAGTACCGCGGTTTGACGCCATTTATTTACTAATTACTTTTAAAGTAATGTCTTTAAAGTCATCGTATGATACATATCTGGTAAGTTTTAACTAGTTTGAACATTATTTAACACTGGTGAAAGTGTTAAGTAATCAAACAAAAAAGGAATACAGGAATAATGTAAAGAATCTTAATTTCCAGAGATGTGCTTATCACCAATGTCCTACAAATACATTGCCTCCGGAGCAACGTGGAATTATGTTCTGTTTTCCAAGAATGGACGGACTTTGGAGGCAATGGCTTGAAATTTTGGACCGGCGTGAATTTTTTGAACTAACATATAAGCAATTGCTTAACAAAAAAATAAGAGTATGTGCCCGTCATTTCAATGACAAACAATTTCAAACAATTAAAAAAGAAAAGTTGTTAAGAAACCAATTGCCACATGTTGTTAGATTTGGTAAGTTAATATCTCAAGTAATTATTGAAGTACATGTTTATTTTAAATGTTTCTTTAACCATACGAATTAGATGATACATTAACATCACCAGAGCAATTGGCTTCAACATCTGGACAGATGCCTGATGTAGAGGTACCTACTTCACACCCATGTGGTGTAAAGAGAAAAAATAATGGTAAATAATATTTTATTTCAAACGATTTACTTTAAGTTTGTGAGACTGAAACGATTTTAAATGTATAAATAAATGTATTTTTTTTAAATTTGTGTATGGAATTGATATTATAATGTTGTGTTCCAATTATTAAATAAAAATCTAACATAACCTAACTTTTTTGTTATGATTATCTTAATCCCGTTCCAAGTAATTTCTTAAATTGGTGATTTATTTGATTCAAATGAATTATTATACGATATTAGAGTGTTCGCCCACGTCTACTTTCGAAGATCTAAAAAAGAATTATCAAAGATTGATTAAAGTTTATCATCCGGATAAAGGTGAAGAAAACCCGGAGGAATTTGTGAAGATAAATGAGGCATGGTCCACTTTGAAAGATGATAAATTAAGGAAACAATACGACGCGGAAATTCTACACAAGAATTTAAACGATAAACCTTTAATTTATGCCGAAATTAATTTTAAAGATCTTCATTTTAAAAATGAGGAGGCAAATTTTAATTGTCGATGTGGTGATAATATAACGATTTATTTAAATGAAATCGAAGACGGGGAAAGTTTATTTGAGTGTAATGAATGTTCTAATTGTATTTTAATTAAAAAATAAATTTATTTAATTAATGAAAAGTTGATTTTTTTTTTGTATTTTGAGGTTATGTTTTTTTTTATGAATCACCTCATAAAAGTCGAATCTACTTGATAAAATATTATTGGATGTTTGTTTCTAAATACAAATTTAATTTATTTTCTAAATTAATGATTAAAATTTGGTTAAATAATTTAGGTTGGTATTAATTTAGTAACAAAACTGTCATCGAAAATAAAAAACGTCATATGTCAGTAGAAAACGTTCAAATGCTTCAAATGTACGAAGTGCGAGATAAAAACGGAAAAAGCGTTTTATTTTTATTAAAAAATTAAATTTTAATTACGTTTTAATTAAAAAAATGTCGGTTCAAGCGCGTTACAGACTACTGTACGATGAGAAGGATTCGTTTATCTTCAAACTGCCATTCAGTAAGCTTTCCTTGCTAACGGTGACTTTGCCGTTGGTGGCCTTCCTATTTTGCATAATATACTCGATCATTTTCAATTTTGAGAGTGTCAACAAAACCCATTGTAACGTTTACAATTTCTTACCGTCCGTCTCGTCAGCAATCGGCGGTTATTCGCCGCAAAAAGAAGTCTGGACTTGGGCTATTTTCCTGCATGCCGTGCCACGATTATGCATTCCAATTATGTACTTTCAATATAACAGCGAAGCTTTGTATCCTCGTGCTTTTTCTATTATGGTCGTCGCTTCGTTTCTAAATACAGTTGAAAATATCGCTCTCATTGTGTTATCGTTTTACACTTCTTCGGATAATTACCGTAAGTTACATAATTGCGTTTTTATGTGACAATTTTAATCAATTTTATTTTTAGCTGTACATAGAAGAGCTTTCATAACTTTTATTATATGTTCGGAGCTTTATATGTTGTTATTGGTGTATTTACACACGAGGTATCGGAAATATTTGACTGAAATTGATAAAGTTAGTTTGAATTTGAAGAAGAAATTGGTGTTTATTAATATAATTTCGATTTTGGTTGCTACATATTGTTTTATAAGGCATAATAGTTCGTGTGAGGATTATGGTAAGGCGAAAAAATGTGTAAAAGCATTTTATTAATGATTCTTTTTCTAGTTTATTCGTTTTTCGCATTTTGCGAATACATTGTTGTTTTAACAAATATGGCTTTTCATATGACGGCCGCTTTGGATTTCAAGAACAGACATCTTCACATTTACAAATGTGGCGTGTGCCTTTCACCCAGATAACAGATGATTATATAGGTTTAACTTATTTTTTAAGTTTCCTTCTAATCGATTTGTTAAATTGTTTCGTACCTGGTGTATTTAAGTGTTTTAGGGTGTTATGTATTGTTTTTTATTTAAAAATGTTTATATTAAAGCGTTAATTTGAAGTTACACTCAAACTAGTCCAAGGAATAAAATAAAAATGTTGAAGAATTTTATAAATAAATAATTGTTGAACATATCATGATGTACAAAGGTCCAAAAGAAGTTAAAAAAATTGTATAAAGTGCTTTACTATAAGGAAGAGTGTTTTTTTAAATTGTATTTAAAAATTGTGAGATAAATTTGACTGAACTACTACTACGTTTAATTCAAAATGTGATTTTTAAATTAAATAATGCGGATTTGATGGTTAAAAGCGTAGTTTTTGGGATTTAAACTTGCACAAACGTGAAATCTTTGCGAATTGTATAATGCACAGATAAAAATTTGTTTGAATCGTGTACTTGAACGAGATAAAGATTAGTTCTGTCGCTTTAAAAGATAAATTGAATCAACTTGTACATATTCGAGTATTTTGTAATATCGAAAATAAATTATAAAAGTGTTTTATCTGTGAACCTTGACAAAAAAAATACTTGACAATGTCTTATTATAATTTTTTTTTAATAAAAACTGTCTGTGATTGTATCAAAAACCGTTTTTTGGTTTATATATTAAAAAAGATACAAATAAATAGGTTACAATAAACAAATTATTTTTAAACAATCTTTTTTTCTTTAAATTATTAAATTAAAATTTGCATTATTTTAGTTATGCAACCAATGTCACATTTACCTAATCTATTGATTTTAAATTGTAATTGTAAAATCTAATCATTAAATTTTGTACAGATTTAGCCAACATTTATAATATTAAACAATATCATAAAACCAAAAAGGATAAATTAAAATAAATATTTTTTAAACAATAATTAGCGCCCTCTGTTAATAACGAACCGAAATCATTTTAATCTATCAAAAGTCAAAAAAACTTTTAGGTTATTTCACTTAATTTAGCTATTGAGCTAAATTAACGAGGACCTTAACGAACAAGATTCATTCAAGGTCCGTTGAGTAAACATACTGTATAAGGTTAACCAACTCCATATGAACGCCGTTGTTAAGAACGTTTCCCTCCCAAAGACCTTGCTGTGATGTCATTGGAAGAATTGACATTTCTATGTTTTTATCTATACAATGTATGTATTTCACTTAAGAAGGAATATACAAAAATATATAAAAAAAAAGATAAAATAAAATTAAAAAAATATTAAAATATAAAGCGAAATATTAAAGGTTATAATTTTATTATTGTTAGGTTATCCAACTTGACTCGATTACCATGGTGATTAAGATCCAAATATTGCAGGTGCTTGTCAAAATTGAAATTGAATTTAAGTTTTTTTTAAGGAAAAAGTCTTATTTAATTGGTTTATCTAGGGTATTATAAACAAGGTAAGTGGATTAAATTAAAAAAAGATATTTTTAATTAGGTTACAATTGATAAAAAAATCGGAATAAAATTTTATTATTTTAAGGTTATCCAACTTGACTCGGTTACCATGGTGATTAAAATCCAAATATATATTGCTTGTCAAAATTGACGTTGAATTTAAGTTTTTTTTAATGAAAAACATAATTAATTGGATTTAAAGGTTGTATTTAATTCAAAATGGGTAAATGGATGAAATTATAAGCAAGGTAAGTGGATTAAATCAAAAAAAAATTTCAAATAAATATTTTTAAACAACAATTAGCGCCATCTTTCAACAATTAACCGAAGAAAATTCATCAAGGTCATTGGGTTATTCTAACCTCTATGTTAATAATCAGTTTTTATCAATTTCTCTACACCAACATTTAGCCCACCGCTTCATTTAATAAATTAATAAATAATTCTCGAAATTATTTAATAAATGGCAAAGAATATAAATAAATTATTTCCCATAATATTACGATCTCGAAATTATTCCACGAATCACCCAGAAAAATGGTAAGTTTTCGTTACTTTAAAAACTTTTAATTAAATTAACAATTAATTTAATAACAATTCATTCACATTCAAACATGAATTAATTATTAATCAAATTAACCTAACCTTTATATTAACTTATATTACTTTATGTCAAATTGGTTGCATAACCTAATTAATTATATTTTAATTTATTTTATTTTTTTAGTAACAATTATGATTTGGTTGTTATCGGCGGTGGAATTGTAGGAATGAGTTCAGCGAGAGAATTAAAAAATCGCCACCCCAATTTAAAAATGGCCGTTTTAGAAAAAGAATCAAAATTGGCCGCTCATCAAACGGGCCACAACAGCGGTGTGATACACGCTGGGATTTATTACACACCAGGTTCATTAAAAGCAAAATTATGCGTTGAAGGGATGAAAAAGCTTTATGATTACGTTGAGGAGAAATCGATTCCCAAAAAAAGGATTGGAAAATTAATTGTGGCAACGGATCAAATTGAAGTTGATCGATTAAATGTTCTTTACGAACGTGCCTTAAAAAATAAAGTAGATAACGTTGAATTAATCGATGAGAAAGGTATCAAACAGATTGAGCCTCATTGTAAAGGGCTCAAAGCGATTTGGTCGCCGAATACTGGAATAATAGATTATTCGTTGGTTACAGAAGAGTATGCGAAAGATTTTAAAACTCAAAATGGCGAGATTTATTTAAACTTTGAGGTTAATTCGTTTTCGTCGAGTGATAATCCCGATTATCCAGTTCGAATTTCTTCGAAAGATAACAACACGGTTTTAGCTAAACACGTTTTAACTTGCGGTGGGTTACATTCTGATAGATTGTCGGAGTTATGCGGGTGCAACCCAAACCCCAGAATAGTTCCATTTCGAGGAGAATATTTACTTTTAAATAAATCTAAAACTAACATCGTCAAATCGAATATCTACCCCGTTCCGGATCCAAGATTTCCATTTTTAGGGGTTCATTTCACCCCGAGAATGAACGGAGACGTTTGGTTGGGCCCAAACGCCGTCTTAGCCTTTAAACGGGAAGGTTACAGTTGGTTCGATATTAACCTTAAAGACGTTTGGGAGTCGATTTCGCACAGCGGTTTTCAAAAATTGGCCTACAAATTTTTATCAGCTGGATTAGACGAGATGTATCGCTCGATTTTCATTGATAAACAAGTTAAGATGTTGCAAAAATTTATTCCTGATGTTACGATAAATGATGTGAAACGTGGACCAAGCGGAGTTCGAGCCCAAGCTTTAGATGCGGATGGGAATTTAGTCGACGATTTCTTTTTTGATATGGGGAAAGGGGATTTTGGGAAAAGAATTTTACATTGTAGGAATGCCCCGTCACCCGGAGCTACTAGTTCACTTGCTATTGCTGGAATGGTTGCTGATAAAATGGAGAATCAATTTAAATTATAAGAAAACATTGCATTTTTTTGTTGAGTTAATAATAATTTGAATTATAAAATTAAAATAAAATTTTTTTAAAATGACGTTTGTGATACTCATACTTGCCAACCATTTAAAAATGAATTTTACTCTGTCAAAAGTCAAAAAAAACAAACTTTTAGGTTATGTTATTAATTAATTTCAATTAACGGTGAAAACGTGTATTATTATATATTAATCTAATATTAGAATCAATATAACCTTATTTATTGGGTTTGTTTGAACTTACTTTATAAATAAATAAATTGGTACTTATCTGGGTTATTTTTATAGGTTAAGTTTCTTTGGATTGCGGTGTTAGGATCTGACTGTTGGTTGATTTAATTCTGGTTCATCTCGTCCAATTCAACTATAGTTTAAATAAACTAATAAAATATTTGATTTAAATCTTAAAACTAATCACCAACTTGAACGATTTTTTAAATAATATTTTTTTTTAGGTTATATTGACATATACAGTCTACTTGGATCAAGATTTATTGTCAGCTTAAAATCATTTTGGGGAAATTATTTAAAGTTTCTGATTAAAATTAACCTCACTTTCATTTAATTTTAAAATTATTTATTGAATAAAATAATTTTGATCTCTTTCGTAGTGTAAAGTTAATATTTAACGTAAAAATAAACATTTTAACATTATACATTAAGAATTCCTTTCGTTGTTAACTTCATGTAAGTCTTGGTAATTTAATAGAAAAGTCTATGGAGATTTATTTTTGATAATTTTCCAAATCTAGAAGTAATTTTGATCTCTTTTATGGTGTAGAGTTAATATTTAACGTAAAAATAAACGTTTTAACATTATACATTAAGAATTCCTTCCCTTTTTAACTTTATGTAAGTTTTTGTAAGTTAATAGAAAGATCTGTGGAGATTTATTTTTGAGAATTTTTCAAATCTAGAAGTAATTTTGATCTCTTTTATGGTGTAAAGTTAATATTTAACGTAAAAATAAACGTTTTAACATTATTCATTAAGAATTCCTTTCCTTTTTAACTTCATGTAAGTCTTTGTAAGTTAATAGAAAAGTCTATGGAGATTTATTTTTGACAATTTTCCAAATCTAGAAGTAATTTTAATCTCTTTTATGGTGTAAAGTTAATATTTAACGTAAAAATAAACATTTTAACATTATTCATTAAGAATTCCTTTCCTTTTTAACTTCATGTAAGTCTTTGTAAGTTAATAGAAAAGTCTGTGGAGATTTATTTTTGAGAATTTTCCAAATCAAGAAGTAATTTGGGTCTCTTTTATAGTGTAAAGTTAATATTTAAAGTAAAAAATAAGCGTTTTAACATTATACATAAAGAATTCCTTTCCTTCTTAACTTTATGTAAGCTTTATAAGTTAATAAAAAGGTCTGTGGTGATTTATTTTTGAGAATTTAAAACAAAATCTTAGTAATTTTTATATTATGGGGTTAATAACATAATAAGGAATGTGTAATAAAACGAAATTCTTTTTTTAGTTTTAAATTTATTAAATAACAAAGACGAGCTGTAGGAATTTTATAGATGACGGCATATGCATAAACTTACACTATAAAACTGTTCTACAATTGTTGTTTAAACTGCGTATTCCTGATATTCTCTTGTATTTGCTCATTATTTTTCGCTGTTGTTTTTCATTTCCGTATTTCTTTTAAATTTAAATTAACATTTTAGGTTTTTTTTTTATTCCATCTTTGACCAACTAAAGTGTACGATTATGACGACTGCCATGACTTATTTTTTCGTTTTTACTTTTTTTTGCAAATAAAATAAATAAGTGTTTATTTTGTTAAATACATTTCTAGTGATTAAGTTAGACTTATTTACAAAATAGTTATCCTCCACTTGGGTATTGTACCTTACGGTGTTCTAAGATAGTCTGTGGTATAAAAAATTTGTATAAAAATTTAGAAATTTCTTTATTTATGTTTATTATACACATCTGTAAAGTAATTCTGTATAAACATTTTTTTTATCGGGAAATAATACAAGTATATTTGTGTACAGGCGGCTTTTTCTTTTTATTTTTACATTATATATTTTTGTGGTTTTTTGAACACAGTAAAGTAGACACCCAACGTTTTGTTTTTTATTTTCTTTTTTTTTTAATTATTTTTTTATGTAAAAACTGCTATTATATTTGAACACATTAACCACTGTATTGCAGTAGTAGATTGAATAGGCCCCGGTTGCAAAAATGATTTATTTTTTTTCGAAATTAATTAATAAAAATGTAGTAAGAACAAAATAAAACGATAAAATGAATTTAAAAGTAAATAAAAATCTATTTTTTAGCTTGTTTTTCTCTGAGGGTTTCGGGAAGTAGTAATTACAACTAATTACACTACTATTTTACAACGGGAACTCTTCTTTTTTCTTTTAATTTTATTTTTATCATCGAAATGCGTTTCCTCCTCTTTTCTTTCTTTTTCTTTCATGTTTCTTATATACAAATAGAGCTTCAACTAAAATAGTACACAATTCCGTCATAATTCCCAATTATAATCGTTTAATCGTACTTTTTTTATCGAAATTAATTTTAAGTGGCGTTTTATCTTTTTTAAAAAACCAGAGCCATCTTGCACGTTATTTTTTCTTAATAATTTTTTTTAAATAACTTACAGTTATCTGAAATTATAGGAAACATGTATACTTCTTATTAACTGGATATTTTTCACTATAATGATACCTCCTTAAACTCTAGGCATAAATTACATTATTTGTTAACTTATCAATCTAAAAGTGTTTTAATTTCGATTTCTTCGTCTCTTCTTCCTTTCTTTCTTTCTTTGTTATTATTATTTTGTTGTAATAAACGCGGATAAAGTCGTACAACAGAGCCGAAATTAAAACTCGCCCTAAGTCTGTTGTTGGATCACTTTAATATTAAAATTAACCCCGCGTTTTCTTTTATTTTAATCGGTTTTAGTTAACCATCTTTCCGTTTGTTTATTTATCTTCCTCTAGAATCTAATTCACCTAAAAATTTTGGTCATCACATTCTCGTTGATTAAAAAATAATAAATTGAAAAATCGCGCGCACTCAATATCTAAGTTATAAATAAAAATTTTTTCGTTCAAATTTTCTCAATGGATCGCGACGGGACTTTTTTGAACGCACACCCCAACCATTGGACTGTCCTCTCTATCGTTCTGCGAGCTACTGTTGTTGGGTCCGTTTTGTGAGACGACGTGTTTCGACGTTGGGGCCAAACCAACATCCGGCACGATAAAACCACCGTACGATACCGGATACATCTTGTGTTGTTGCTGCTGCTGGTGGTGATGGTGTCTCGACGGTGATGGATCGCACTCCATCGCCAAAGTGTTGTAATTCTGTTGCGGCGTTTGATAATTGTTATGCTTCGTCGGAATGTCTCTTTGTCGTCCCACCATATTTAACCCTAAACATTAATTAATAATGATTATTATAACATTTCAAATTCAATTTAAAAATTAATGATAAGAATTAAACTGATCAAATAAAGAAATGAATCTACAGAGATGAAGTTGTGAAGAAGAAAAAGCATGCGGATGATTTTTATAAGATGATGCGGGGAAATCCAATACCTGTGTTAGTGAATAAACGACCGGTCGCCGTAAGACTATGTTAGTCATCGCTGTGTTCCTGCCATGTCTGTATAGAACACAATGTATCAAAACTATGACTTTTACAAGATCGAAAAGAATCATTCTACTATTTAAATAAGCAATTTGTAAATAAGTTTTAGGGGAATTTCATGTTTTCAAATTAATTTGTCACAATTGACGTTTGAAATTTTTTTAATGACATCGAATTTGAATGGGATGAAATCGAATTTGACATTGACAGGTGTTAAGACACTAAAAAAGATTTTTTATTATTTAGAAGAGTTCTTAGATTCGATGTAACAACTAAAAGAATCAGGACACTTTTTGTGTGTGCAATTTAATTATTAATGAGTTATGTTCAGTTTGAGGAATTCAAATTTTAAGGATATCTTTTAATGTTTCCATGAAAGTATTTTATGCAGATTAATAGCAAGTTTTAACTCGTTTTATACCTAACTCATCTTAGAAATCATCTCTTGTGTCAAATCCAAAATTGACAGATTTTATTACAACATCACTTTTCTACAAATTATTTATATCTTACCCAGGTTTTTTAACAGCTTACTCAAAAATAGAATCTTTAAGCTTTAAATATATTTACTGATTTTCTTTATAAATCATTTTTAAACTTCTCAGAATGGAAATTGGAATGATTTTTTAAATTTTCACAAAAAAAATTTATTTTTACGGAAATTATGCAACCCAAATTGCTTTAGAAGAAAACAATAAATTAAATATAAGATAGTTAGCTCACAACAGCTCTTGTAATGATTTTGTATATGTTAAAAGTACATAAAAATCCTAATATTCTATTTATATCTATATTTCATCTGATTTCCAGGACAAAACTATGCTAGCAATTCATAAATTTTTGATTTTCTTAACCTAATCTCATCCTTTTAATTCCTTAACCCAAATGGCTTTGTAAACAAAAAAAGTTATTGCAACACAATTTATTCAATAAACTTGTAATATTAATAAACAAATTAACTATAAACATTCGATTATTTTTATAATTTAACATCAAATGGCGTCCTTAAAAGTTCTAATGAGATTCTAATAATTCTAGTTTCCAAATAACCTGTCATTTTATTGTCAAATTTTAATTGTTTAATTAAAAAAATTAAATTTAATAAATTCAAGTAGAATGATTCTTTATTTTTAATCCTTTAACGCATCTTTTTTATAAATTAAACAAACAACAGCGCCATCTTTCAATGAACATTAGAAGTAATTGACATTTAAATGACACATAACCTAAAAAGTAAGCAAAAATTATTTACAATTTTAATAAAGTTGTTGCTTTAAAGGATTAAAACACATTAAATGCCCAAAGAAATTGCAATGATAAAAAAAGCAGCTCTGGTAAATGTTTTGCAATAAATTACATTAAATGTGATGTATTAATCGTTTCCATTTTTGTGATTGTTTCGATTAACTCACCATGTTGACTGTTTGAATTGGACATGTCCATATTAACAGCGGGGCTAACACTCGCACTGTTGGCGGTGTTAGTGCCTTCATCCGCCGTTCTCTTAAAGAAATTATGTTGTAACGCATAATAGGGCGTTATGCGCGTCTTTGGATCGTAGTCGAGCATACGCAGGATCAGATCTTTAAATTTGAGGTAGTCGAGCATTAGGTGGCCCTGTTCGCCGTATCGCCGACCACCAGGACCCCCCGTTTCAACACCGAGGATATCATGGAGTTTCTTCGTACCCGGTGGTTTATATTTTTTACTGTCTTTTGTCTTACGAAGAACGTATCTAAGAGAGAAACGATTTATCGAGGTTAAATGGATCAATTTAAGATAATTATATTTAATTGTTTACCGTCCGTCTGGAAGTTTATCAAAGAATTTTCTCACTTTCGTTCCTTGATCAAGGAGATGTTTGGGTGGCATACCTAAGACTTCAACGATTTTATTCATTTGGTCTGCTTCGTTTGCACCGCTAAATAGAGGTTCCCCGGTGTGCATTTCAACAAGAATACAACCTAACGACCACATATCGATGGCCAAATCGTATTGAATACCCAGTAAAACTTCGGGTGATCGATAAAACCTCGATTGAATGTATTGGTATATCTAAAAATAAATTAATTTTATTAAAACACGTCCATAATAATTAAATAAATAAAATTACCCTATGGCCAAGTTGACAGGAACTTCCAAAATCAACAATTTTAATTGCCGATCGTTTTGGATTGCACAAAAGTATATTTTCCGGTTTTAAATCGCAATGAATGATGTTAAGTTCGGGCGTCGAAAGGAATAAAAGTGCCGTACACAGCTGCTGCGCGAATTTTCTCGTTAAATTTAAAGATACTCCACGGAAGTTTGTGTTTCGTAACAAATCGTATAGGTTGTAGGATAACAATTCGAATACCAAACACAGGTGGTTGCGCCACATAAAATGACGTTTTAATTTGACTAAAAAATTGAACAAAAAAATTAATTGCATTAATTAAAACCAAAAAAAATCTTACCTATATAATACTTGTTCTCGAGGTCAGCTCGATTCATCATTTCGAGTAGTTTGACCTCGATTTGGGCTTGATTAAGGAAGGGTTTCTTGTTCTTAATGATCTTGATGGCCACGTGACACTGTTCGTCGTGGTCAAAGGCCTTCACCACCTGCCCGAAGGACCCTTTACCTATCAGCGAGTCAATCTCGTACCGGTCGAGGAACTTTTCACCGTTTTTCACGATATAATCGTGATTATCATCGTCGTAACCATCATTGTACAGCTTCCTCTCCTTCTTGTGCGAGCTGTCCTCGCCCTGCGTTTGCACCGCCCGTCGTTTCTTTTTCGCGTAATACACCTGCCGGGAAAAAAGACTAAAATTAACATAAATTCGTCGTTTACGAAACGAGAAAAATGGAGGTTGTTGAAGAAAAAACGCCCCCTTAATATTTTTGCCCTCGAGTAAATGCGACTGGCGCGGTGCTAGTGGAGTAATGGATGTCAATTAGAGATGTTGCGAAGGCGGTTGTGGGCCACAGACCCTCCCCAACAATTAGTCTTTCTACCGTCGAGTTAACCGCGGGAGGTTATCTCCTTCAAAATGATACTAATATAAACAAAAATAAGAAACTTAATAAATAAAAATTTTACTTTTATTTATCATTTCTCTATTCTTACGTGGTGATTCTTCTGAGTTGTACAAGGTTATGTTTTTTTTATAACTGTCAGATTGTAGTAAAATTGACAAGATTAATGGGGAATTTTATTATGTCAAGTTTTGAAATCAAATCGATTTTCGCTATCCAAAATGAAAAAAAATTAGTTTTTGGTTTTATATTTATACATAAATAGTTGAATTAAAATGAAATAAATTTTTCTTAACTTCAATTACTAAATAAAATCAATCCCAAAAGTTTGACCTTGAAAATTAAAGTAATGCAGAAAAGTGAAACTACTTCTAAAAGACTTTTGTATTAATGGCTAAGATAAAGTATTAAGAGAGGATATTAACAAATTAAAAGAATTTAACATAAATAATTACGTTTAATAATATTTTTGCGGGTTGGTACCACCGAAATAGTTTCTTAAGTAACCTGTCAAAATAACGTTAATATATAAAATGAAATAAAAGTGCCGTATTTTCACCTAATTCGTAGAAACAAAACTAATTAAAACTGTTTTTGGTTTTTCCTTTACATTTCACGTTTAATAAAACCATAACAAGTAAAGGGCCAAGATTTAGTGTAAATCCGAAATTATTTTTGTAAGGTTAGGTTTGAAGAGCTTTTTGAGTCAAAATTATAAAAGAAGTTAAACAAGCTTTACGACTCTAAAAAAATCGCTAAATTGTGGGTAAGTTTAATAAGTTTTTTGATAATTTGCAATAATTAAAATAAGCTAAAATATTTTTTTAGTGGCGAATTATCATTCACTCTCAATAGAGGGCGGTGTTGGAGATTTAATGTAGATAGTGACATTTTTTACTTCTGTCAACGTTTACCGGTCAATGAATCTAGTAAAGCAAACTTTTCGATCCTGCGACTAGTAAAGAAATATTAACAAAGTAATCTCCAAAGAAATTTAAAATAATTTAAAAACAAGGTATAGTTATTATTTTTGTTGTTAATGTTTATAGTAATATACTTGTGAGTTGGTACCAACGATATCGTTTTTTTAAGACAGCTGTCAAAATGACGTTAATATAACCTAAAACTAAGATTAATATACCGGGAATTTCATATAATTCGCGATATATGAATGCAGTAAACATAGTTATATGCACTTGCACTGTCCTACATAAAATGCAACATAGCTTAACAGTACATTGGGTAGCTTTGCAAAGGAAAAGTTTTGCTTGGAAAAGGTAACGTCCTTATGATAACTCTGAGTTTCCGTCTTAAGAAACGCACGGCTAAACCCGAAACTTTCTAGTTCTAGGTCTAATGTTAGTTCACTAGCACTGTTACTATGTAGAACTAACACTATACCTAGAACTAGAATCATTTGTGTTTAGACGCACGTTTCTAAATCCGAATCATTCTAGGTCTAGGTATAGTGCTAAAGTCCTGTCAGCAGTATTTAATCTTCTACAAGAAGTATCTAGTCTTCTGCTAACATTATGTATGTTTTTTCAAACAGTATCTTATCTTTCTTTTGCAGTATTTAGACTTTTCAGGAGTATCTAGTCTTCAGAAAGCAGTATTTAGTCTCCATAAAGCAGTTTTAGTCTTCATAAAGCACTATTTAGTCTCCAGAAAGCAGTACTTAGTCTTCAATAATGTCAATGTAACGTCAAATTATATTGACATGTTGCATTTAATGTGGGACAAAGTAAGTAGGTACGCCCTGGTTTCTATGCGCCCTGATACATATTTTTGTATATTGCATCTTAATCGAAATTCACTATAGATCAAGTACTGAATGAGATTATAGATAATATCGTGTTATGTTATTTATTATTTTTTTGATTATAAGAGTTCAATAAGTAAATGAAAAGTTATATGTTTGAGAGAGTTTCGGCTACAGGTTGTTTCGCCGATTTCGGGGCGAGTTTAATTAATTTTCCGGTCGTACATTACGAGCGCGACTTTATTAATCCGGCGATCGAGTATTTTCGCGTTGACAGGAGCCAATTGGGGCGCCGCCGCGTACGAGGACGGACGTTTATCACCGGCGCCTCGACAACTTGTCGCAGACGACGACGACGACGCCGTAAACCGTGCTTAATAATATACGCGCGACCGAAAACGAACGAGGTTAGACATGAGATATCGACGTTATTAGTAATATATCGAAGGGGTGCTGCCAACTTATTATCTCTTTGGCTATGCCGGGCACGTTTTCCACACACGACACACACCATCCCAAAAATTACAACGAACGATCAACGATTCTTCTGTCATATTATTATATATATATCTCTTTTATTCTCTATTTTAACAATGAAATTTATTTCAGTTTGATTCCTTTTTTTCGTGCGTACTGTTATTTATGGTACACATCTGCGACGAGAAGATAGAGGGACTTTGACGTCGCGACGTTGCATACGAAACAACTTTCCGAGGGATAAGAAAGAAGGGGATGAGGAACGCGAAGATGAAACGCTTGGAATTAGATGAAAAACGAGGGAGAGACTTGGATGGTCGGAAAAATAGCTGATAAGATTCTAATCTAAGTGCATTTTTCAAGATGTCACTCTCTTTCGCTTTTAGACGCGAAAAAAAATTTAAAAGAATTAATTTTTTTTTAAATGTTTATGATTATTATAAGTGACACGTGCTTATAACCCTTCTTTCGTTCCCCGATTTCTCGGCGTAATCTCGCTACATTGTCCGAGTCGTTGAGAACGCGGTGTATCTCGGCCTTCACAGCGGAACGTCTGGCGTTATTGACCCATTTCGCGTCGTTATGGCGGCGCGGATCGGGGCCCCGTTGTGAATATTAAGGCCGGAAGGAACCCGCCGTCGACTGCCTTTTCGTAGATTAAAACGACGCGAACAAAAAAAAAATATTTTAAAACTTTTTTTGTACCCTTTTCTATAGAAAAATAAAATGAAATGAAAATAATCCCCCGGTGCTAATTGTGGACTTGCGCTACGCAGACGACGACGCTGTCCAGAAGAACGTGACCGCGCGGCTAATTGGTTAAAATTAAAATTTCAAATGAGGGGGGCTCGCTCACACTCACCTCGTTAATGTGCTTGTACGTTTTAATTAGGTCCACGCTGAGCTTCCGGAGAGGTGCAGATCCCGGTTCCCGGAACGTCCGCGGAATCCGAGCTTGCATCGCCTGGATATCCGCCGGAGGGGCTCCTTGGTTTAGGGACGCCGCAAGCTGCTCCTCCGCCACCAGCCGACCGTAAAGGGGCGCGTGCCGCCTTTGTGACGACGTTTCATTATTGCCCCCTCCGCCCGAGTGCACTAAAAAAAATATTACAAGTTTTATTAATTCATTTCATATTACATTAAGCAAACTAAAGTTAATCGATGATACCTAATTGCTTTAAATATTTTTGATTTTATTTGGTTATAATTATTGCTAAAAAGTTTCATTTTTAGGTTAGGTACATGTCGCAGGTTTATCTTTGAAAATGAATTTCGTAGGATTAATAGCTGTTAAAATTCTACAATTCTATAAAGTTATGCGAAAATGACGAAAAGTATTATTAAATGACGCTACAGATTATTTTTTTTTTCTATAAACCTGGCAAGTAATTAAGTTGGTAGCAGTTGGTAAAATTAACAGGGAATTTTGCAATGTCATGTTTTGAAATCAATTTGTCACATTGACGTTTGGACTTTTATTAACTAAAAAAATAAAATCAGGTTTTCAGTTTATTTTTTATAGACGAATAATTGAAATAAAATAAATTTTTTTTATTGAAATGAACACCAACAATAGAAACCTTTAAAAATTTGACTTTGACAGGTTGAGCCATTTCTAACTTCACATACGCCGTTTAAACGTTAGAAGTTACATTTATAGTTTGACACATGACGTTTTTAACTTGACACGCGACATTGAAACTATAAAAACGACATTTCTACTTTCACAATGACATTTCCAATTTGACATGTGACACTCAACCATAAAGTTTCTTATTTAAAAATGACATTAGTAACTTGATACGCGACATTTAAGCTATAATAATGACATTTCTACTTTGACAGTGACATTTCCAATTTGATATGTGATACAAGTTTCTTATTTCAAAATGACATTTGTAACTTGATACGTGACATTTAAACTATAAAAATGACATTTCTTTTTTGAAAATGACATTTTTAATTTAAAAATTACATTTGTAACTTGACATGAGACACATTAAAAATAAAAAGAGACATTTTCAACATGACTTTAAACACTTAAACTTTAGAAATGACAATTATAGCTTGATATATGACATTTCTAACTAAACACATGACATCTAAGCTATAAAAATGATATTTTTACTATGAAAATGACAGCTCCAAGCTGACATAAATATGTCGTTCGAACTATAAATCTGACGCTTTTGATTTAAAAATTACATGTGACACTAAGAATAAAAAGAGCCATTTCCAACTTGACATTAGACATTTAAATCTTAGAAATTACATTTAGAGAATGACATATAACATTTCTTACTTAACACAAGACAATTAAGCTATAAAAATGACATTATCATGATATTTCTAATCAAAAAATGACATTTGTAACTTGGCATGTGACAATTAAACTATGAAAATGGTGTTTCTACTTTAAAAATGACATATCAACTTGACATGTGACACTCAAACCATAAAAGTGACATTTCTAATTGCAAACTCACGTTTCTAACTTAACAAGAGACATCTTAAGAATAAAAGGTGACAATTCCTACTTAACATTAGACGTTTAAACCTTAGAAGTAACATTTATAGCTTGAAATATGACTTCTTATTTGACACACGACAATTAAACTATAAAAATGACATTTCCAACTTGACATATGACACTCAAACCATAAAAGTGATATTTGTAATTAAAAAATGACATTTATACGTTTGATATATGACATTTCTTACTTGACAGACGACAATTAAACTATAAAAATGACAGTTCTACTTTGAAAATGACATTTTCAACATGACATTTGACATTACTTACTTGACACACGACAATAAAACTATAAAAATGACATTTCTCTTTTGAATATGACATTTTCAATAAACATATGACGCTCAAATTTAAAAAAAAACATTTCTAATTAAAAAAAGATATTGATAACTTGACATGTGACATAAAGAATAAAAAGAGACATTTCCAACTTGACGCGTTCAAAACTATCGAGTTTCTTTTACCTTTGTGAATAATGAAATGGAAGAGAGTTAAAAAAAACGTGGTTGGAAGAGAGATAACGAAAAGTAGAAAAGAACATTGTAACAAATCAGAAATGTCAAGCTAGAAGAGAGACAAACAAAACAGATTGTAAATTATCGGGTAGACCGAAATTACCGGCGTCGTTAAGAGACGTCGCGACGCAACCCTATTTATCGTGTCAACCCCCGAACATAAAAAAGATTATGCTTCGTTAGTGATCCTCCAGACCACGACAATACTATTGAAAAATAATTATTTATAACAATTTGAAACTAGAGAAAATAAAAAACGATGAAATTTTAATATCTGGAAATAAAGGGGTTGAAAACGGTTTAAATTCTGGGACAAGAACGCGCCATAACGTGACGCTATAAATTACATAAATAATTAGTGCGGACGCATTGCATCCGTAGAGAGAGAGGGTGGGGGGGAGAGGGTAGGCGGCGATTTGAGGGTTCACCTCTTTGCCCCCTCGCCAACCACCCCCCGACTTATTACGTTCATCCATCTTTCTCTTTTCCGTCGTCACCCTCCGCTTTTGGGGGATGTTTTAATTTCGCGAATGTTGAAATTTGCGAGCGCGCGCCGATTTTACGGTCTACGGCATAAACTAAAACTCAAAAATTAATTTCAAAAAAAAATTGTAAGATAACCTATAATTTGTTATAATATATTTTAATACATTTTTTTCTTTTTTTTAAGGAAAGATCTTAATCCTATTGTAATAGGTGGCGAAATGATGATGAAGGGGGAAAGCGTAGGAAGCGAAACTTTCCCAATTTCAAGCGTCGAGGCGGGAAATTGCATCGCGCGTAATCGCGGCGTCGCGACGACGTCAACGAGATTTGCTCGCACGTTATTTATGGGAGGGTGGGCGTTAATAAATAATAGAAAAATCGTAGAAAACCCTCAAGAAAATTGAAAAAAATTCTAAAAAAAAATCCAAAGGGTACCGGCTTTGGGGTTTTCGAGTGCAACACCCAAATAACGAAACACCAGAAAGAACTGGCGAACAGATGGCGGCGGCGTTGGTCGTCGACGATGTTCAGCGTGACGAGAAATATTAAAAAAGTTTCCCGGATGTCCCTCACGATTGATCCCCCCCATTTTCGTCTCTTATACTTGTGTCAAATGACGATTCATATCTTGGTACCGGAAGGAAATTTGCGGTTTTATCGAACAAGAGGTGACTTGATTTGCGGTAGGAGATGATCTGCAGAACCAGAGCGAGCGCGACTCCAACTTGTTCCACCGCTTTTAAACCGATTAGTGAAGAAAACTAGTGTTAACTGAATTAAAACTGCACGAGGGCGTTTGTGTCGAGAGGGAATTATCCTTTCTATACGAGCGATAGCGGCTGGCAATTTAAATTTAACAAACCCTCATCGTTTTAAATTCAATTTCATTTCATTTTTTTTATTTGATAATTTCTACGATTTAAAAAAATCTTTAATGACATTTACTAAGCACTAAAAAAAATTGAGGTTATGTTACTAAATGTCAGGCAAGTTTTATAATTTTTGTTTACTTATTTATTTAAACATTATTTATTCTTTAATTAATTGTTGATGTGTGTAAGAGTACTTTTATACTTAATAATTAATAATTATTTCAAAAATTCAAATTACCTTCATATGGTTAAAGGAAACAGTGACATCTAGTAACTAAATTTAATAACAGATTAACAAACGTCATTGTCAAACGTAAAATTATCTTCAACAAAACGTTTTTCACCCAAAAATCATAAATTAAAAGAATTTTTATTTGAAGATTCATTAGTAAGTAGCAAAAATTAACAAAGAAACTTGAATTAAGTTCAAATTTTAGTTTGAAATTAGTTTAATCACATTTTTTTTTTTTTAGGTTATGTTTATTATGATTTATTCCAAATAATTTGATCCATTCGAATTGAATATGGAGTATGCAGTAATTAAGGTGCCTATCAAATATCTAGGAGTAATTCTTTACAAAACCTTTTCATGGAATAGATATTTGATTTGTGGAAAAAATTGGGGTCTTATCCCTGAAAGACTGTCTTGAGCTATGTGACTGTGGTTAAGGCTGTGATCACATACGGAGCGGCATCCTGGCATAGGAAAGCCCGACAGACTTCAGTTATTAATAAACTTTCACGAATTCAACGAGTAGCTGGATTGGCAATCTTTGGAGCGGAAGACACCATAAGCACTGATATCGTGCTATCAATGCCGACAGATTTGACGGGATAGTGAGTTACCATAAGATATTACTATGTTGCATATTTTTATTGAACTAAAATTAACACTAGACCTAGAACTGATGCAAATATCTGCCTGAACGAGAGAATTTTTAGATTATTTGATTCACCCAAATTGACCTTTAATAGAGCGTGTAGAAGGAAAAAATTACAAATCTTAAATTTCAATTTCTTCTTGTATCTTTGGTAATAACCCGATTTCTAAAAAGAATACTGTTTGAGAGAATTTGCAGTGATTTGAAAGCTTTGAGAACTACTGGTTTAGAAAAAGAATGGTGAGGGTGAAATTTGTCTCTGGAATGAAATGTATTACCCATCTTTTTGCATATTTTGTCCACGGGTACAAAATAAACGCAAATAAACAAGAAGTTGTTTACCAAGTACGGGGCGGTGATGCTGACGGCGACGGCGAGGATGGCGGTAACTCCCCCATCCTAAATTCGGGTTAAGTTATGCACAGAACGGACACTAAATCTCGGACTTATCGGCGATTTCATTTCGCGACCGATACAATCTCTAAATACGTTCAGATAACCGACCTCTTATTCTTCTTTTGGACGTACTTTTACTTTAATCACGATCCAATCTTTAAAATTAGTATTTTTTGGTAATGTAAATATGTATTTCAAAGTAATAATTTGAATAAAGGAAATGAGACGTTTATTGTTAGTACATTCGCGTTTGCTCACTCCATTTGGGTCGGGGATTTAATTTTTCCGCACAGTTTGGATGAGGTTAGTCGGCCGTTATTGCCGGGGCCATTGTCGGCGCTGGATTAGCGACTAAATCCGGGGTTGAGCCCCGAGACTTCTCCATCCGTATACACGTCCGTCTGTCGTCGTCGTTG